TTGTGTCTGTGCGTGTGAGGAGCGGTGGCGCAGTGGTTAGCGCAGTGCGCTACGAACCCGGCCACACGAGTTCGATTCCCAACACCAATGACGATTTTCTGAACAGATCCTGGGCGTTCCCTAGGTTGGCTCAGCCTCAAATGAGCACTTTACCTGGTGCTATGTGTAAATACCGCCACGAGGGAGACAAAGGTGGCCGGGTGGGCGTGGTGCTGGCCACCCACTCCCCCTCGTGTGCCGTTCCGGCCTCAATAGGCAAACACTTGCCCCAACAGCTTGTTAAAAGGCTGTATGGGGAATATGTGTAGGTCTGCGTGAGTTATTGCACACAAGTGGGGTGTGTGTGTGTGTGTTTGTGCGGGTATGCGAGCTGTTGAGCGCGTGTATTTATATCCACATGTGCCTATACACGTTTGCGCATACGTGTGGGTGGGTGGGTGGGATGTGGTGGATGGGGGCGGTAGCGTTGAGCGGTGAGCACACTTCGCTCCGAAACCCGACGCTTTGGATCGATTCCCGTGAGCGAATACCTGAACCGGTCCCGGGCCTCCCCTTTGATTTGTACCTGCAAGGCCGAATTCGATCTCTGACCATGACTCACACACACACAACGCGAGCGCGACACGTGGAGATGTGGGCCTCCCCTAGGTTGACTCAGCCCTAAAACGGTACAGTGTGTAGAGCACGCGATTCCGCTCGTTTTACAATCTATACGCACAAGGCTCCTTTTGTGTGTAGTGTCAACGATTCGGAGACAGAGTTTGTAGGAGGCACCTTCTTTATTAACCACGCTTCCACAGTCTGGTCCACACTCCACAGTAGCTTAGCCTAGCCTGTACACAACACCAGCCGTCTAACACTGACGGCACTGACTGAGACAGAGGAGGCCCCTGGGACCGATAGCGCAATATCTAGCGTTTAGCGACGACGGCGACGACAGCGACGACAAGTCGGGTCCACTCCCAGAACCGGCAGCCTTCGAGCTCCCCCCTCTCGCCTCCTTTCATGCTCGGCCTGGCTCCGCCCTGACCGCGCCTCCCTTCTCGAACCTGCTAGCAGGTTCCAGGGGCCTCTAGATGGGGTCCTCCATGACCCTTGCCCTAGTTCTTCCGCTCTGCCAACACACACCGTGCCCACACCCTCACCGGCGTGTGCGCCGTCTGTCAAGCACAGTTGCCGCTGCCGTCCACCAGCCGGCGCTATTACACTACACGTGCATAACCGCATTGAGGTCGTCCACCAGGGAGATGGAGTGATCATATCAGCGCATGTATGTGGCTAGATACGCGAGTGGTGAACGACCCATTAACAATCATTCGAGCTGCTGCTTGTGAAAATAACAACAAAATAACCACAAAATAACAACATGCGGAGGCTCACAAACGACCGCCGTCTTCACCGCTGTCGGAATTCTTTCGCGAGCTTTCCGGTCTGCTCGACTGTGGGTCACTCGGCTCTCTCGATACGTCATCTGTGGTGACCTAAACTGTCCCGGACCGACTGGTTCTGGGAGCGAGATCAACCAGTTGATCTCGCCGAGATTATCGGCGGTCGCAGTCGCAACATGCCGCTCGTGATATATTGCTGGATCGCATCTTCACATCCGCCGATGCCGTAACTGTGGCTGACGTTGTTTTCGAAGACGTGGGGTGTTTCGGATCACAGTCTTATCAAAGCAAAGTGGCATTATCGATTATTCGCCCAACGATATCATTTAGAGGCTGAAAAGGACTGGATCACGATTTCTTTCCATCAGAAGATCCCGGTCTCTCGTCGGGGTGTCTAAATCCTGCATTGACGGTCGATGCATTTGCAGCTCAATTCGAAAATGGCATCACTGCTGTTCTTGATGAACCCGCGCCCATCCGAACAAGCACAAAGAGAACAGGGAAAGCGAGCAGCAACTGGCTGTCGTCGGAGGCGATCGCTGCGAAGGAGACGCGGAGGAGGCTGGGGCATCTTTGGACGAAAACTGATTTCTAGACCGTCCGACTCGCTAACAGAGCGGCCTGCAGACCCGCCAACCGGCTCATTGTTGAGTGTCTCAGATCGTTTTACGCTCTGCGCGTCGATGAGTCGGCTCGCGACCCCCGTCCTCTGTGGACGTCGTGAAGGGTCCTCTCTGCACTCCAACCACCCGCCAACTCGTCAAACACGGTCTGTGCACAGTACTGGCGACGCTCCTTCTTCGATGAAAGTGACGATGAAGACGGCAGTTTCTAACTTGACGGCAACCACGTTCTGCCGGTCCGCCATCTGAGTTTGATCAACCTGAATCCAATGCAAAACTCGAATCTGTTGAGGCTATACGGGGGATCTTTGTCTTTGTCAACCCTGTGCCAACCACACACACACACCAAGCTGCCGCAGTCCAAAGATGAACATGCAAGGAATGCGCCTAGCCGAGTGTGTATTCGCGGAGCGGTGGCGCACACGGTTAGCGCATTTGGGGGAGCGGTAGTGTCGCGGTTTGCGCGCTGCCCTATGAACCCGACGACACGGGTTCGATTCCCGCTCACGGCCAACACCAGTGACGATTATCTGAACCGGTCCCGGGCCTCTCCTAGGTCGACTCAGCCTCAAATGAGTACTTGGTGCGGTGTTTAAACATTGCCACTAGGGAGACAAAGGCGGTCGGGCGTAGTGCTGGTCATCCACCCCCTCGTGTACCGTTCCGGCCTTCATAGGTGCTCGCTAACAGCACTTGCCCCTACAGTCTGTTAAGGCTATATGGGGGATCTTTATATTTATTAGCGGAGCGGTGGCGCACACGTTTAGCGCATTTGCACGACGAACCCGGCGACCCGAGTTCGATTCCGGCTCACAACGCACGAACCCGGCCGCACGAGTTTGATTCCCGACCACAGCTGGCATCAGTGGCGTATGTTTGAGCCAGCCCTGTGACTCCGCGAGGTCGACTCAGCGTTAAAATAAATACCTTGCGCAGTTTGTTGAAACGTAAGCGTATAAGCAAAGGCCGCCCCGGGCGTGGTTCTGGTCAGAGCAACTCCCTCGTGTGCCGTGCCGGCCTTCATAGGTGCTACTCTCGCGAGCAACACTTGCCCAAAAAAGTCTGCTAAGCCTGTACGGGGGATCTTTGTCTTTGTGACACGAGTCAAACGGCGGTGTGCGCCAAGCCACTCTTGCGAACGACACTCGATCATCGCCTCCTGGAGTTCTCATCTGGTTAAACAAAATACATTGCAACTTAAACACCAATGAAACTTGTAGTGGCGAAAGAAAGCACGGCATCGCTCGAGGTTCCGCTCCTGATCAAGACGCACAGGTGCCAACGTGTACTGTCGTGGTGCATCGAATCGTATGCGCGCGAATCAATGTACAAGCTTCCGTCACCAACGCGCGCTGTCCAGCGCGGTGAAGTATGGTCAAATAACCCCCCCCCCCCGCCCCCCGGGGGAGCCCTCATCCAGCAATGAATTGACAACTCCACTTGGACTGTTCCGCCCCCCACCCCACTTCCCCTCGCCCCCAAATCCGCGAACCCAGCCTTCGTCCTCCCTTCCCCTCTCCGTGTGCCCCAGAGCCCATTGCGCCCTCCCCACCACCACCACCGATTCCCTCCCCACGCTGTCCCTCCAACCCATTGCCCCCCCTCCCTCCCCACCCTGTCCCTCCAACCCATTGCCCCCCCCTCTCCCCCCGCTGTCCCTCCCCTCCAACCCATTGCGCCCTCCCCACCACCCCCCCTCCCCACCCTGTCCCTCCAACCCATTGCCCCCCCCCTCCCCACGCTGTCCCTCCCCTCCCACCCATTGCCCCCCCCCCTCTCCCCACGCTGTCCCTCCCCTCCAACCCATTGCGCCCTCCCGCCCCTGAGCACTGCTGTTTGATGTGCCTGTCCGCCAGCTGTTCCACATAACAGCCTTGCGTCACATGACGGGCGGCGCAGGGGCTGGCGAGCCGCTCGGGGTAGTGCGTGTGGATGGTTTGTGTCGGACGAGCCGGTCCCGGGCCTCCCCTAGGTCGACTCAGCCTCGAATGAGTGCCCAGTTGCGGTGTGTTAAACGTCGCCGCTGGAGAGACAAAGGCGGCCCCGGGCGTGGTGGTGGCCACCCATCCTCGTCGTGTGCCGTTCCGGCTTCTAAAAGGTGCTCGCTGACAGAACTTGCCGCAACAGCCTGAAGGCTACACGGGGGACACGTGATCCTCATGGCGGTACCCCGGGGTACCGAATAACACGAAATGGCCGAGGAAATTAAATATTTTACTTGTGGGACACTTTTTTTTCCAGGGGTGTACTGAACTCCGCGACAAATCGATCCGAAATCGGTGCTACTCCGCGATGTCGAAACGCCAAACAGCATAAAAGAAATCCGTTATCGAAAAAGTCAACTTTGAATGGTGCATCGTGTCCAGCTCGTCGACATGAGTCGATTGCCGCATCGCCGACCATCAACAGACTAAAAGTGACTGCGTCACGGACATGATGCGATAGTCTTGTGTGTGGGACGATGGTGGACGTGGTTGGTGTGTTGATGGGTGCGTGTGTCGGTGTGTTTTTGGGTGTGTTGGTGCGTGGGTGCGCTGAAAGCTGTGGTGGGTGGCTGTGTTGACACGGTGGATGTGTTGATGAGTCGGGGGGTACAACGTTGTGTTCAACTGTGGCGGGTAAGTGCTTCGGCGGGTTTGCTTTGTCGGTGTGTCACATGGGGTGTTGATACGTGGGTGGGTGTGTGGGTGTTGCTGAACTCTGGTGGGTGGCTACGTTGGCGGCTGGGGGATGTTGCTGGGTGGATGTATCGGTGGGTGGATGGGTCGGTAGGTGGGTGGGTGGTTGCCTGAGTGGGTGGGGAGTTTCGCCGAGTGAGTGGGTGGGTATGTTTCGGTTGGTTAGTAGGTCGACGCCGGCGGGGGTCGACGTAACGTCGGGTGGGTATTCGGGTGAGTGGATGTGTCGGTGAGTGGATGCATCGGCGTTGTGGGTGTGTTGGTGGGTGTGCTGGTGGGTGTGTTAGCGGCTCGGTGGGTGTGTTAGTGGGTCGGCTCTCGTATAGGGTGAATGGGCCCGTGCGTGTTGGAGCAGACCTCCCGTTCGCCCGACGGACGAACGAGCAATCCATCCCATTCCTCTGCGCGTGCGGCCGCCACCACTACCACCACCACCACCCCGCTCAGCCACATTCCCATTGTTCCACGCAGCGCCAGGGAGCAGCAACAGCAGCAGCGACTCTCTGCAAGCGGCAGCGGCAAACAGCAGCAGGAACGCACACACGCAGAGACCCACGCGCCGTGGCCTCGTTCGCACGGACGGGCGGAGACGGAACAATCTCAGTTCAGCAGCAGCAGCAGCAGCCGCCGCAACAACCACCACCACCACAACCGAAACAATAACCGCAGCAGCAAAGCCAGCAACGAGACACGGGGTGGGGAACTCGGAGGAAGAAATCGCGAGAACTTTCGCTGCTTTGTTTTTGGGGGGAACTGGGGGGGGGAGGCGTAATTTTCTGTGGCTTTTATTTATATTTCTGGTGAGGGGTGAGCTGCTTGCCGAGTTGGTGAGCTGCCGCTTTGGGCTAAGCTGCCTAAATTGACTAGCTGCTGGGCTGTGCTGGCTGTGGCTGGATTATTGGCGATCTGCTGGCTTCGCTGACTGATTGTCTGGACGAGTTGGCTGGTCTGGCCGGGTAGTTAATTGTTGAGCTGCCTGGATGATTTGCGACCTGCCGACACTCAAGCGGCCGGCCGGCCGATTGCGATTCGTTTGAGCCCTCTCCTGCGGTGGCTTTGGCTGTTTTTTTTGTGAGCTGGCTGGCTGCTTGATTGCGGTGGAGTTGTGAGCCGCTTAGCTTCTTCTCCTTGCCTTCGTCGAGTGGAGGAAGGAGGAGGGGGAGGGGTGAGGGAAAGGGGAGAGGAGCGGGTGGAAGAGATGGACGCGGGCCGCCTGCTCTGCTGGGAGAGCGAGCGACCGGAGAAAATCCGTAGGGCCCCTCTCGACCCTCACCTCGTGTGCGACCGCGCGCTGCGCAACCTCCTGCTGGCCGAAGAGCGATACGCGCCCAGCCACAGCTACTTCAAGCACGTGCAGCGCGACATTAAGCAGCCCATGCGGCGAATCGTGGCCACGTGGATGCTGGAGGTAGGTTTCGGCTCGAGGAGCTTAAGCCGCGTTTCGATCTCCCGGCAACGCGGTTGAAACAACGGGGGCCCAAGTTTGCTTAAATCTTAAAGTCGCTCACTCCGCCTCCCCCCCCCATCCCACTGCCGGCAGGCCGATCCACATCACCCACCGGCCTCTTATCCGGCCACCCAGCCAGCAAGCAGTGTGAAAGGGTGCACCACCACCACCACCACCACAATACCGCCACCGTTAATCACCGATCGGTATGTTGCGCGTGGTGAGGTCAAGCGTGGGTGCTGACACGTCTGGCAAGGGTGGAAGAGTAGGCCAAAATAGCCTGTGGAGGAGGCCTCCCAAGAGCTGCCTCCTCTCGTGGTGGGGCAGTGCCGTGAGCAAGCAATTGCAGGGCTGCACCCTTTGCCCCCACACACAACGCCATCGGTTCCTCTCGACGGCAGGTCGTGCATTCGTCTCCTGTACGACTCCCGTTTTCTCCCAGCCCTCCGTGCTGTCGACACCCTCCCCCCTGTTCCAAGTGCAGGCTGCTGAGACTCATTCCACGAAGCATCTTCTTGAGATGCGGTCGCATTTCATTGGCAGCCAGGGGCGGAACGCTGCCATTTCGGGCGTGGAGGTTGTTTCACCATACTTCACCACGCTGGTCAATGCGTGTTGGTCAAGGGGAGGGGGAGGGGGGAGCCTGGGACCACCGCTTCGTGGATGATTAACCCGATCATTTGCAGCGTGGCAGGGAATCGAACCCAGGTGGCCTCTGTCACTGTGTTGTGCATGTGCAGTGTTCTTTAAGTAGCAGGAATCAAATGTTATCCGAGGGATATAGAAAAATCAAGGAGGAAGTGATGGAGAGCGTGACATCGGTGGGGTTTGTTAAGGCGTTGTAATCTTGCTGTTGCACTGAAATACAGCGAGAATTGGTGGAGGGCTTGGTGGATCACATAGAAATGGGGGGGGGGGGGGTGGGCGAGTACGCGTGACACGTAGCAGCGTTAACAATGCATCGATTCTTAAGCCTCGCAATGAATGAACATAATCGAGTGCCGTAACGACGTTTTTCAACTCGTGTATGCCGTATGTCATCTGTTAATTAGAACTCCTCCAACCACAAGAGGCCGCTGCAGTCACAGAATTGTGTTAAGAGGTTTTATTGTATCTATATATAATGTTTAAATCGATTCACGACCTTTAACCAGGGCGACGTTATTATGTATTGCTCCGCCCGTGTTGAGGATTCTGTGGACCGGGAGTGCTTCGTCTGGACCACAATGTGGGTTCAACCACGAACGCCGATTCTAAATAAACAAAAACAAAATAATAAAATCCTCTCGCGACTCGAGAGAGGCGAAGCCGAGGCTTTGTCTGCGATTGACTTGAGGTCACGCGCAATGCGCGCAGAATGATCGTCGAGCAAAACTTTAATGTCAAGTTTTTATGTTGTTTAACCGACGGGTGAGATGACCCAAAGAGACCAGGATAGGAGAGAGTCCCAATTTGCAAGTGACCAATCGATCACCAAAAATGACAAATGCAGCAGCAACAACAACAACAACTAATATATAAATTACTACAACGAAGCAAATAGACTTCCGAGCGAGAAGAAACAAAAACAATACCCCAACTGTGTCGCACGAGACATGGAACCCCCCCCCCCCCCCAATCTAATAATAATAATGTTTTAAGAAACAAGCCAATGGAAATTTCCAAGAGCAGTGCGCGCGTGGACAGGGGTCCACACCCCGATCCGACCTGGACGGCTGCCGTATTGCTGCTCTACAGTGTTTCCCGTGTGTGGTATGTGTGTGGTATGGTGTGTGGTGTTTGTGGTGTGTGTTTGGAGTGGTGTGTGTGTTGTGTGGTGGGTGTATGTGCTGTGTGTGTGGTGGGTGTGTGGTGTGGTGTGTGTGTGCTGTGTGTGTGGTGTGGTGTGTGTGTGCTGTGTATGTGGTGTGTGTGGTGTGTGTTTAGTGTGTTGTGTTGTGTGTGCTGTGTGTATGTGTGGTGTGTGTGTTTGGTGTGGTGTGTGTGTTTGGTGTGGTGTGTGTGTTTGGTGTGGTGTGTGTGTGGTGTGTGTACGTGATGTGTGTTTGGTGTGGTGTGTGTTTGGTGTGGTGTGTGTGTTGTGTGGTGTGTGTGTTGTGTGGTGTGTGTGTATGTGCTGTGTGGTGTGTGTTTGGTGTGCTGTGTGTGAGGTATGTTGTGTGTGTGTGATGTGTGGTGTGTGACTGAGGCAGCTATGGGTACACAACCCCAATAAGAGGCAGGGGGGACTCGAGCCCCCCCCTGTGTATTTGTTTTGTTTGACCAGGGGTACAGTGAGGAAGTATATTGGGCGACGTGAAGAACTTGCAAGATGATGGGGAAGGGGAGGAGGGGGGTGACTCCTCGTTGCGTGATCTCATTTCCTTCCCCCCCCCCCACTCAAAAAAAAATTTTCTGAAAAAAACCCCCAACGCACAGACCCCCGCCACGGAGGCAATGGCGTCGCGTCCGCAAGAGAGAGTTGTTGTGTTGTTTATTGTTGTTTATTATTGTTATTGTTTACTTTGCTGTCCTTCCTTGCCCGCTGCCCCCGCACCTTTCGATGAGCACGGAAGACGTTCAGCATGCACGCGCACAGGAGATGAGGGCATTTGCGGAACTCTCGCTCTCTCTGCCTCAATGTGGGGGGGGGGGGGGGGGGTGATGATTATCTCTCTCTCGCTCTCTCTCCCCGTTGACTTTCACACCGAGAGCTATTGAAGCAGTGTATGGGTTCACGCTCACTGCCGTTTCACTGCGTCCTACGACGGGACAGGGCACCTCATCCAGAACGGGGATTGATGAAGGGGTTGCCCATTTTTTTCCCCCTTCGAATTCGGTGACAACCACAATCAATTTGTCAAGAGCGCGCAATGCAACGTGGGGGGAATACGAGACGGGTGATGGCCCCTAATAAATGACCGTCACGAAGCAGTCGCTTCAAGAGTCGCATGCGGCTCTGGAGACGCAGGTTTCGCAGACCCCCCCATTCACGAGCGCGTTCCAGTGGTTCCCTGTAGCGGCGTTAGTCCGAAAGTTCCAAGTCCCCTATAAGCGGCCCTGAGTAGCTGATTCTTGGACTGGTTCTTTGTGTCGATTCCTTCCCAGGAATTAACTCGTTCGTTTGCTTTCGTTTTTTATCGAGCACTAAACGGTTGAAATTGACGTTTCACGTCACTCGATTAGTGAGTGGTCGGTTTATTTTTTACTCAAACCCCTATCGCGAATATAACCCCAGTACTGGAGGATCCTCGTAGCAAAGTAGTAGCTACATGTGTAGGAGCTACATATGTAGTCGCTACGGGCCCCGCACTTTCAAGGGCCCCGCGCTAAATGCTTTCAAGCTATCAATTCCGGTTCAGTGATTCTGCACTTGCTCTATTACTATAGTACTATACTGCCTTCAACTTTTACGAACGACTGGGTGTTTAAGGTTAGCGTTTTGTCGTATTATCTGTCCGTATAGCAAATTTAAAAATACAATTACTTTACTATGCAAGTAAAAAAATTATGTTTTAATATTCATGTGTCATTTTATTTAGGGCCCCTTTATAACATATGCTACAGGCCCCGCACTAGCTTCATTCGGCACTGACTAACCCTAGACTGAGCCCCCACCCTTTGGCAGACGATGTGCGGAGAATATTACAGTGAAGTCTAAAGCCTAAATTTACACTTGCCCAAATTGGCCAATATCTCCTGTTCGTATTGGATAGAATTGTTAGTCATAGGCTTGACCGTGACCAGATTCTTTGGCTGCTATAAATTCCCACGCGATCAACCACTCATGTTGATCGATAGATTTGTGGCCAGGTCGCTTCTGAAAAAGAGCCATGAAGTGGGCCTTACCTGGTGAATAAAAAAAATGTGTTTAGTTTTAGTTTAGATTTGAGCCGCTCGGTTGCTTCCAAATATGCATTTGAACGGCTCATCCATGGCTCAGCTCCGTGCAGATCCTGAGCCTGGCTGGAAGCGCAATTCTCAGAGACCCTGCTCAAGTTGAGCAGGGCTTCTGTGAGCCGCATCACTCGATCAAGGCTGAGCCGAGCCGTGACTTAAAAAAAAAACACGGGGGCGGGAGGGGGAGCCCATAGTCGCACCACCGTAAACACATCCTGTCACGTGCATTGTGTTCTTGAAAGTATGAAGTGGTCCTAAATGACCTCTAACTGCGCCTCCCACCCATTGACACATGAAGGCGTCGCCAAGAAAAACGCATTTCAACGTGGAGAAATCGTCACTTGATTTGTGCACGCAAGTGCGCGACTTGTCCACGCAAGTGCGCTGCTTGTCTCGTGCACGCATTGCACGACTCGCGTACCGATGCCAAAACAACAACAAAACGTTGACATTTCTAGATTCTAGATTTGAAGTTTTCGTGACTGCAAGGATTTATGCTCTTAGGTTTTTTTCGGTAAAGTCACGTAGGTAAAAAATAAAAAAATAATAAAAGTAATAATAAAAATAAAATAATAATTCGCGACGTTTTGGAGGCAACACAAGTCTCTGTCTATCATCAAGTGGGACCGTCACAGCTAGATGTACTGTATAAAGTGAGGCAAAAAATTCCAAGGTACGAGTTCTTAAATACAAAACGTTGACACGCGGCAGGGTCAGGACGAGCCGGCGGCACGGCACGAGCGTCGTGCCGGCAGAGCAAAGGCGGCGCACCTCTCCCCGACTGCTACCACACCGACTCCCCTCCTCCTCCTCCTGCCCCTGTTCGTACAGAGAGAGAGTTCTCGAGCTGACGTGCAAATGTAGTCGTTGTTTTTGTTGTCGTTGCAGTCGTCGTTTTTCCTGTCACGGCCGGCCCATTGCTGCAGCGTTAATGCAGTCGGCAGTTTTAATTGTTGTTGTTGTTTGTATTTTGTTTGCGTGTGTGTGTGTGTTGAACTTCTTTCGCACCGTATGTAGCCAGCCCTGCTCATCGGAGGTGCGGGGCATGGGAAAGGGCAACGAACTCAAACACAAAAAAAGCAGTTCCAGCCAAATGAGCTTTCAATCTCGATAAAAAAATTGTATCCACGGCCTTATTAGTCGGCGGGCCACCGTAACCCGGGGTTGTTGTGAGTCTTTAAGTCCAGACCTCGTCTCTCTGTGGAGAGACAACAATTAGAACTGCCGACTCTGTGGAGAGACGTGGTCTCTCTGTGGAAATGCCATCCGAGTCTATCTCCGTCCGTCCGTCTTGCTCCTCCTTCCGCCCCGGCGGCTGTGCAGAGTCGCCCGTCCTGTCATCCGCAGACCGCAGCGGTAGCCTCGAGACGTTTTGTCCGCCCCGTTTCTGGCGAAAAGCAGCAACCTCTCTCGTGGGGCGGTCATGAGCTCCCTCTCGTGGGGGGGGAGACCCTTCCGCCAGCAGTGGCATGAACGGGCCATTGCGGGGCATTCGTCTCTGCCCATCTTTTATCGTCGCCATTAGGAAAGATGTTTTTGGTGATGGTGCTGCCGCTGCCGCCGGATCGGGGTATGGACCCTATCCACGCGCGCACTGCTCTTGGAAATTTCCACGAGCAACTAAAACCCGACGCGTCCGTGAATAACGCTGCGGCCCGGAAAGGAATAACATAACGGGCCTTGCTTTGGGCAGTGGGCCCCAGCTTCATAGTGCACAGACAAAAACAAAAGGAGTCATCTGTGTGCTATGAAGACGGTCCATTGCCTGAAACATCACTTTATTGTGTATATATTCGCCCTAACCACAGCTATCGTTGACTAAACTTTGTTTAGCTTGTTGTCCGTTCCCCCCGCACCTCCGATTGGTTGGCTACGGACGGCGCGAAAGAAGTTCAACGTACGTACAATTCGGTCAACTGAATTTTCGAACGAACGCCGGCGTGCGCCCCCCCCCACCCCGGCCCGCCAGGTGTGCGAGGAGCAGCGCTGCGAGGAGGAGGTGTTCGCGCTCTCCATGAACTGCCTCGACCGCTACCTCTCCACGGTGCCCACCGCCAAGTCGCGCCTGCAGCTCCTGGGCGCCGCCTGCATGTTCCTGGCGTCGAAGCTGCGCGAGACGGTTCCGCTCACGGCCGAGAAGCTCTGCATCTACACCGACCACTCGGTGCGCCTGCACGACCTGCTGGTGAGGCCCTCGCTCGCGCCGCCGCCCCCGACGCGCCCCGACGTCCCCCAACTAAACAACAAAAAATCTTTCAAACTATTTTACCGGCTCTTTTTCACAAGCGGGGAGATTGCCTTTCACAACTGATAGCTCGACGAAAGTGGCTCGTCGTCGCGTGGAAATTTATAGCAGCGGCCAAATACTCTTGAACGCGCGATGTCGATTCTAAATGTTGGAAAGCAAAACCGGACTACCCCACGTGACCACCGGGGAGAGAGACATGCAAACTCAAAATATGCAGGCATCGTCAGGGTTGGGATCGAACCCAAAACTTCCTGTATACCAGGCAAGGTAGTTAACATCGCACCACCCTGGCACCCTAGACAACCCCCCCACAGCCCTGTGCGTGAAACAAGCCACAACCGGTCTATGACAGCTGAGCACGCGACGGCCGACCATGGCGCTCCTCCGTGGTAAACGAAGACCTGAGGATTATTTCCTGGCCGCGGTGGCAATCGATTATAATCCGAACCAGTCGCGCCCGTCCATCCCGCCGCACTGACAGAGGGTGGTGAAGTACGGTCAAGCAACCGCTATGGCTGACACAGCGCCGGGGGAGGCCCTCATCCAGCAGTGGATTGACACTGGGCTCTAAGTGGTTATCGTTCTCGCTGTATCGGACAATATGTTACGGGCCCAATTTCCGGTAAAACTCATTGTGTGGGCGGCGATTCGGCGCGTTGTCATCGGCGATGGAGAGACATGGGGCAAGTTTTTTTTTTAGCTCCAAAAAACTCGATGCGTGAATCTGGCCTCTAGCGTGCAGTGGTTCTGGCGCCACAAGGAGGTATTTGCCGGAGCCTACGAAGCTGATGCCAAGCGCTGTGGGTGGTCACTGCGGATCGTTGTGCAAGGGCGGAAGGGAAAGGGGAAAATCAGCACAGTGGCGACCCCTGTAGGGACCTCTGCTCGGTGGTGTAGCGTGGTGGGCAATGGGCGCCGGAGCGAGGAATGAACCTGGGCCCGCTTGCCCAAATGTCCTTCTTCCTCTGTAGCCCACCACCCCCTCCAGCCCATGCACCCTGGTGCAGTTGCACTGCGTGCACACTATTGATAGCTATGCCCACAGCTACAAGCTACTATACCCCCCCCCCCCACACACCCTTTCTGGTGGTGGTGGTGGTTGTTGCAGTCCTGAGCCACAAGTTGGAATTCCACATTCCTAAGAGGGAGACTGGAGAGGGGGGGGATTGTACATACCTACATTCGTACTTTCATCAGTAGATACCTGAAGCGGTCCTGAGACAGCCTGCCTTCACTGACCTGTGCTGACCAGTGTGTGGTCCAAGAGGGCCCATGTCTGTGTGGTCAAACAGATGTGTGGTCAAACAGGTGCGTGGTCAAACAGGTGTGTGGTCAAACAGGTGTGTGGTCAAACAGGTGTGTGGTCAAACAGGCCCCATAACTGACACGACGTTGGGAGGCCTTCATCCAGCAGTAGATTGACAAAGGGCTGTAAATTGTGATTGTTATATTTTTCATTCTTATTAAGACAGACCAGTCTCCCCAGAGGGAACAGCTGTTGTTTACTTTACACAGAGTGGTGAAGGTAATCATAACAATAATATATTTAGGAAATCCTCATTAATTGTCAAAGTTTAAGGGTCTTGACTGTGGGATGTTGGGCAAATTTAGTAATTAAAGAGACTCGAGTTAGGAACGTTATCAACATCGGGGAGTTTTTTCAACTTGGGGTTTTCGCGACCAATGGATCCGATCGTCACGCGAGTGCAATGGCAATGTGTGTGGTACACCCTCCTCCACCTGACATAGCCAATTGAATACATTTGCCACGTCAACAAACGCGTCAACTCAGCATTGCTTTGGCACACCGCTGCAGAGCGATCCACACACAATTGAGCAATCTGGTATGACGTTTGACTGGTGGTTGCATCCAACATCGTCAGACTATTGCCAAAATTGTGGAAATCGCACGATGATGGAGAGAGAGAGAGCGATGTTCTGGCTAGGTTTGGAGGAAGATTGCTTGATTTATTGGTATTCTTTATATAAACCATGTGAGATCCCTTCTCTCAACGATATGGATGTAAGTCGTCATCTTTTGACCTGACACCAGTAGAAATATTTGGGAGAGAGCAACATTTCCATCATTTTTTTTCAAACGGTCGTCTCTCTGGGGTTGATAAATATACGGACAAAAAATTGCGCGCCACTCCGTGGAAACTCCACAGCTTGACCCTCCGCCAACAACACGGTTCCCCGCAATAAGAATGTGGAATTTCCACCGCTGACTCACTTGAGTCAGCATCCCACCCGGCTGCAACAGACGTGGCCCCGCGTTTGCGAGTCGTCAGCATGATGACGCCATTTCTCCGTTCGGCTGGGGCTAGCGCCGCAACTCTCATTGAGGGGAGGACGGGGGGGAGGAAGGCGCAGCCAGGGCAGGCGGTGGGTGGTGGGGGAGTTGACATCTTCGATTGGACCCAGCGGGGAAGCAAGAGGGAAGAGACGGGGGGGAGGGGGGAGGGAGGGAGGGAGGGAGGGTGCGGTGTTGAGGCTTGTGGTTTTGTGGAGGAGATGGCGGAGATGCCAGAAAATCATTGATGTCGCTGATTTATAAGACGAAGCGATTTGCGAGCCTCGGTTCTCACGCCCACGCACGCTGGGCACGTGGACGTGCAGATTTCCGTCAGCTGTGGAAGGCGGCGTTGGTCACGATCAACGATGACGACAATGATGGTGACGACGACGATGACGATGGTGATCGTGCATTAGGTGGTACGATCAGATTTGGCGTAATCATCATTGCTTCCATTACTCATCATCGTCGTCGTCGTCATCAGCCGTGATCTATCCGCTGCTGGATGAACACCTCCCCGAGCCGTTGTCATCTCTCCCACGGTCTCGCAATGCAACAATCCGGCATTCCATCTCGTTCTTGTACGCACGATGCAGCAATTGATTGTCTCGGCAGTGCCGCTCAGCTCTCTGATGAGTTCCCCCACCGCCCCCCCCCACCCTCTCCCTCCGGGTTGTTTGCAACGCGCGAGTCGCTCGGCCCGACGTCCGACGTGTCGCCCCGCGTGCTTGGAGCGTTCTCCCGGCAGCACGTTGAGCAAAACTTTGGGCAGGCGTCACGCCAAAAGGCTCGCGGCGCTACGCGCGGACAAACGTATCCCGCGGCAACACGGCAATCGTGAGAGCGAAATGCGACCCTCGCCCTGAAAACGATTTAACTGTTTTTTTTTATTTTAGCCACGTAGCTTTTTCAGAAGCGGCGACCTGGCTATGGTGAATGATAGCTCAACGAAGTGGCTTGTCATCATGTGGAAATGTATTGCAATAACCGGAGGAGCCGGAGAAAAATCCACGCGACCACGGGGAGAGAGACACGCAAACTCTAAATATACAGCAGGCGTCCTGGTTGGGATCGAACCCACGACCTCCTGTATACCAGACGAGGTAGTTAACATCTCCTAGCCACCGTGTGTATATACGTTGAACTTCTTTCACACCGTACGTAGCCAACCCATGCTAATCGTGGCACCATACCCGCGCCCCTCCCCATTACCACCCCCACCCTTCCGTCGTCGTCGCACCCCAGGACATGGAGCTGCTGGTGCTGACGCGTCTCAAGTGGGACATCTCGGCAGTGACGCCGCACGACTTTGTGGAGCACGTGCTGGACCGGCTGCCCCTGCCTCGCGAGAGCGTGGACCTCGTGCGCAAGCATACGCAGACGTTCATCGCGCTCTGCGCCACAGGTTATTACCGCGCTCGTTTCACCCCCGCGCTCCAATCCCCCCCCCCCCCCACCCACATGCGGTTTCTCCCACGTCGTGTCATTTGTAAGAAGGGAGGGAATTTTTACTTTTCTTCAAGTCTGGCAAATTCGGACCGCGACGCCTGCACACGGTGGCCTCACTCTCATGACGAACGACGTCACGAGGAATCTCTCGCGTCCACCGCTAAGCAGACACGGTGCGTGGTACCGTCGCTGTCATCGCGCCGCGCGGTGTTAATCGGGGCGGCCGCTGGATTCGGGAGATTTGTGTTGCCTTTGTAGGGGAGCGCGCACCCACATGACTCCCACGGTGGCGAGATGTTAACTCCCTTGAATGTCATGCGGAAGGTCGTGGGTTCGATCCCGATCCCGACCCCGACGCCTGCTGTAATATTTGGGGTTTACGTTTTGTCTCTCCCCGTGGTCGCATGGATTTTCCTTTTGGGTCATCCGATTTTTCCTTCCACAATTACAATCAACGTGCGTGTTGAGTTATTTGGCTGCTATACATTTCCACGTCATGACAAGCCTCTTCTTCGTTGAGTTATCGTTTTCGGCCAGGCCTCTTTTGAAAAAGAGCTGCATAGCCTTGTAAAATAAATAATAAACATCGTTTCGTTGGTTTTTGTATTCGAGCCATGCGGCGAAAGCGCTACCGACGGGGCCCTCATCGCCGCCCCCGAACACCGCCTCTGGCTTACGGCTCGCTCGTTGAAGTCCCGTAAACGCCGATGGCCAAAATCGCCCGGCATGCGCCCCATCTCGGACGCGTAACCGCGAAGACCGCAACAACCCCCAACTGTCACTTGTCAAAAAAGTTCAAGTTACTTTTTTTTTGCTTGATGAAATCCGCTCATTGAGCAGGAGCGCCGGACAGATCGGCGAACCGCTGGTGCCAGGAGTGGCACGGCAGCGCGGGCGCCAGCGGTACGAGCAGGGAGATTCCCCGAGCCGCCGTCACCGCCGTGTGCGGTCGCATTGTTTGCTCGGCGAGTCACGATATTTTACGGACGGAAACATTTGTGCTTACGTGCGCAGTTTTTTCGAGCTTCTGGCAGGTGTTCGTCGCACAATCGGCGGCAATTAAGAGCGCCTGGGCCCCATTGACGGCACCACCTCAGCCCCCCTCATCCTCCACCACCCCCCTTCCTCCGCCGCCACCACACAATCTCCAAATTGGGTTAAGGCCGCAGATAGAGCGCCCGAGGGTTTTTTTCTCCATTTTAAACCTTTGACAAGAGTAAACGACACGTCGAAATGTCAACAGCTCGCGCCGCCCCGGTCGGCGGTTGGACGGAGCAGGTGAAATCTGCAGCTGGGCCGGGGGTCAAAAAAATGCCCTTGGGGTAAGGAGAGAGAGGGAGAGTGTGAGCAGGTGAGGCCTGCGTGTGGAGCCCCCCCCCCCCTCCAGGGTCAAAGTTCACCCAGATCAGCTGTGCGGCAATGGCTGGCTGTCGCCCCCAAGTCTTAAACAGATAATGACCGTGTAAATAGCGCGGGTGGGGATAACTCGTTCGGTTAACTTTTTTCTTTCTCAAAGCCAAGGCAGTAGACATCCTTCAATAGAGAACCCTTTGTCTGCCATTCTCTTATCTGTATGTAATTCCTGCTGTACGTGCTATCCGGACAATCTGCTATTCGCCCTTTCGGCAGCTACTCGTCTCTTCTCCTTGGCTCTCTCTTCGGGTTCACACTTCGCCTTGTTTGGCATGTCCGACTGTAGGGTGCCACGGTGGCGAGATGTTAACAACCTCGCCTGGTGTGCAGGAGGTCGTGGGTTCGATCCTGAGCATGATGGCCTGTTAAATTTAGTGTTTGTGTCTTCTCTTTCCGGCGTTGCCTGGATTTTTCTCCAGGTCCTCCAGTTTTTCCCTCCACATTTAGAAACATGTATTTAGAGTATTTTGCCGCTCTAAATGTCCACATGATAAGCCACTTCGTTGAGCTATCATTTGTGGCCAAGTCACTTCTGAAAAAGAGAAATATAGCTCAGTGTTTGTGGTAGTATATTAAAAAAAAGTTTATAGTTTTATTCACTGTGCAGGAACCAAACCGTGCAGCTCCCTCTCTCGATGATGATGTAGCATCGCCAGCTGCTACTGCTGCTGGTGGTGGCAATGTCAGTTGTTGGCACAGCTCTCTGACGTAGAAGCGCACGGCACGTGGAGAGAAACGTCGGACACCGTGCCAAACAACGCACAGAGGTAGCAACCCGAAATCACGTCGGAGAACATTGCAGCTCAACTGCAAGACCTTGCGCAGTGGTACGGCTCGTCCCATTACCCGTGTGTTCACTAATATCGGGAAGATCACCGGTGTAGATGGGATGAATAATGATAGTCTCCTCTTGATCTTTTGCCAATGAATAAAAGCAAAAACCCAACTCGTTTCATTCTCCCACACTCGAGGAAGCATGTAGCGGCGCTCACGCCCGTGGTGGAAATTCCTCATTCTCATGGTAGGGCCCAGTCTATCCCGTACAGAGGACACCGCATGCACTGTAATGTGTTTGACTTTGAGAGCTTGGTTCTCAGGGTCTCCTAAAACGAGTGCAGTTTGTTGGCTGAACGTAAATAACCGCGCAATACCAATCGCGAAAATATATTTTTTTTTAACCCACGCTCCCATCCACCAAATCCCGCGTGCACGAACCTGACGTTATTTTTGCCGTGACGGTGGGAATTTGTGCCGACCGAGATGGCGGTCACGTTTTATTACCATCCCCCGTGCGTTTCCGCCTGAGGGTTGACTATCGTGGGCTCTGTGGAGCAGAGGAGAAACTCTTCTCCTTTCGTACGGCTGCTGATGTGGATGCAGAGCATCAACTACAATGTCACATTCAGGTGGTCAAGCCGGACAACCGCGATGGGAGCAGCGGAGTTGTGCAGCCATGTCTCCTTCGTATTTGTGGATCTGGATGGCCAGAGTCGCGCGCTACTGGAGAGTTTTTTATTTTCCATTATCCGAATCTACCATGGTTTGTGCAGTGGATGCGGTTTAGGGTGCACTAGCAGAGAAGATGTGCAGAAAATTCGGGACATCGCCGCAAAGTGTGGGATTGGTGGGCGGGACGCACGATGATCGCCGTGGATTGAAGCTAACGGCGGACCGGCAGTCATAGGGACGTTTACCGTAGAGATGGAGCGAGGAGATGAGATCAGGGTCCTGTGCGTGAGCCAGATCGTTACATTACGGAGCCATGCGAGATGGTGACAGATTGTGGGAGGGGAGGCCTTGTTCCATCCGTGGAGAGTATATTTTGTGACTAATCAAATTCATAGCTTTCTCGTCAAGGAGGAAAAACCATCACGTGATCTCCGATCAGCCTCGCAGCAGCTTTTGGCTAGCCATCGACGGTCACTGCATCACGTGCTTTCAGATGCTCTTCTGCGGCCGTATGGAACGCTCCTCCTTCCGTTATTAGGAAGCCATTGGAACTATGCACTTTTAAATTATCTAGATTGAAAACTAATTTCTTTACCACTGCCCTTTGTGTTTAGTTTGTTATCCTAACCCCGCACCTCCGATTAGCGCGGTGGCTACATACGGTGCGAAAGAAGTTCTATGTGAATACCCCTAAGAGTAATAATACTACTAAGTCATGATATCGAATTACGTGTGTGTGTATATATAGTGGCGAGTGAGTGATTTCATTCTACTGATGGTCTACTTGGGATAGAGAGCTGACATTTGGCACAAAATATCTTGAAATAATAACTTATAACTGTGAATATTGTGTTCAATAACTCAATTTTGCCCCCCCCCCCCCCCCACCACCGAAATTAAGAGGGGTGGTAGAGGCAGTGGTGGAGGAGGATTTAAACATTTTCTTCAACTTTAAAATTTTTAAAACCTGGGGTGTAATTGCTTCCATCTGGGAGGTATTGAAGAATGCCTAGTCTGCGTATGACATCAAATTTTGTGTAACTCCCGATATTTTTCCGTGTACTTTGTTAATGGTTGCGTGGATCTTTTTTCTCCGGGTGCTCCGGTTTTTCCCCCTCTCCACATTTAGAATCGACGTGCATTAACAATATTTGACTGCTGCTATAAATTTCCGCGTGACAAGCCACTTTGTTGAGCTATCATTTGTGGCCAGGTCGCTTCTGAGAAAGAAGCTAATAGCTCGGTGGGCCTTACACCTGGTAAAATAAAAAAAATGTTATTTTGAATAAAAAAAATATAGATATTTTTCATTCATTAAAATTTGTATCCTTTTATTCCATTTTTTTGGTGATTTGATTGCCTTTCCCATACTTTGCACGCCTATCGTGTGTTCGTATTGTTTGTTGGACAGTTCTGACCCCGTGCCCCTACTGGACATGTGTGGGAAAAGAGCTTGAAATAGCTCATCGGATTCCTCCTGTATCAAGATAAATATTCCGATTCTGAAGGTTTGCAATGCGTCGCGCGTCCGTCCGGGGCCACGCTGTCTGACGGCGGCAGAGATTCGGACGAACGGACCAAAACAGACGGATCAGGAAAGAGGCAGACACAGATGAGAGAGGCAGATGAAAAGACGGACAGACTGAAGAAGGCAGACAGATAGAGGGACAAACGGACACAGATAGATGCGAGAGACAGAAATAAGGCCGAGTGATGGACAGACGAAGACAAGAAGATGGAACAGACATATATAAAGACAGACAGAAGCGAGAATGAGAAAGAGGGATGCATGAGAGAGAGACAGACGGAGAGACAGAGAGAAGAGTAAATTAAAGACACACGGAGAATTAAAAGAGACGGAGGAGACGGGGGGGGGGGAGTGCGAAACACAAGCCGGAAAGTGTTATGATCCGGAGAGATGGTTTTACGGGAGAGAGAATTTACAAAACCACTTGGACGCTGACGGAGGGAACGGGAGGACAGAGGATTAAGATGCAAAGCATATGGCGAGAGACTTGAAGAGAGAGCGAGAGAGATGGAGAGAGGAGTGGGCGATGCAATGGAAATGGAGAGCGAGGGAGAGAGAGCGCAGATGAAGGTGGTTATTAAATTAACTTTCCCATACCCACCCCTCCTTGAATCTGAGCCAAAAAGGGGCCGTTTCTGAGTTAGTTGCCCTGACCACGGGGTGAATCCGTATGTGCGTTTCTGTGCGTGTGTGTATGTACGTGTGTGTGTGTGGACGTGTGTATGGGGAGTCGTAGTGTACCGGTTAGCGCGACCCGAGGTCGATTCCCGCTCACGGCCAACACCAGTGACGATTATTTAAACCAATCCTGGACCTCCCCTAGGTCGACTCGGCCTCGATTAAGTACCTGGTATGGTGCGCAAACATCGCCACTGTGGAGATAAAGGCGGCCGGGCGTGGTGCTGGCCACCCACCCCCTCGTGTGCTGTGCCGGCCTTCATAGGTGTTCGCTAACAGCACTTTCCTCAACAGTCTGTTAAGGCTATACAGGGGGGGGGGTTTGTCTTTGTGTGTGTGTGTGGAGCGGTAGTGTAGCGGTTAGCATGCGCGCTACGAACCCAGTGACCCGAGTTCGATTCCCGCTCATGCTCGCCACCAGGGACGATTATCTGAACCAGTACTGGGCCTACCTCCCCTAGATCGACTCAGCCTTAGTATGAGAACCTGGTGCGATGTGTAAAAAAAACATCAGCACTGGGGGAGACCAAAGGCGGCCGGGCGTGCCATTGGCCACCCACTCCCTCGTGTGCCGTGCCGGCCTTCGTGGGTGCTGCTGCTCCTCGCTCCCAGTGTGGGCGGTCCGGATCTTCGTCTCTTGCGCGCCTGTATGCGCGAGTGCCCGTCGGGCTCCATGCGTCGTGGCATGGAGCTTTCTACGGTCCGAGTTCACACCTCACCATTGGCGTTGGCGTTGGTGCCCCGCGTCTGAGCATCAGCAACCGGCACAACTGTCCCCTTCCCGTGCCTTATCGAACCTCGGTGGGGGCGTTCGCTACCTAACAGCACCTGTTTCACGTTGTAAAAAAAAATACCGGCCAGAGCGAATCTTAGGGTGCACGGTTATTCCCCCTGTATAGAGGCAATGAAGAGTTTAATCCTGGGAGGGATGGGGTGGGGGGGGGGAGTGACAGTGGACTTGGGTGGGGAGTGGAGGTGCTGAGTCGCAAAATTAATCGTGGTCGCTGGGCGGAGGAGGAGGAGAAATCCTTTAATTTCACTTCATTCAATGCCGACTGAGGCCACCAAATCCTGGGGGGGGGGGGGGGGGGTTCCTCGCCGCGGTGCCACCTGCGTGAAACTTTAGCCACCCCCATAGAGGTGGCTCCACGCGGTGAGAGGAGAAGGGGGAAACAACATGAAGCACGGACAAACTAAATTGCCCCCCTTTGAGTTTGTGGTGGGTATGGTTTTTTTTTGGCGGGGGGGGGGGGGGGCAAGGGGTGGGAGGAGGAGGAGGAGGAGGCGAGAGGGGTGATTTGGGGGGGGGGGGAGTCGGCCATTGTGCCAGGTTGTTTTAATCTTTGAAGCCCTCCGTGAAGTGGAGTGATTCACAAAACTCGCACGCAGGAAACCGGGACGAGCATCTGGATGAGGGGACAAGGGGGGGGGGGGGGGGGGCGGCCTGTGATCGGCGCTCCCCTTTTGTTGTCTCCACGATCCGATTTCTGCAATCAAAAGTTTACGTTCAAACGTAGCTATTTACTTTTGTATGTTGTTTGTGGTGTGCTTCAAAGTGCTTGCTTTCAAGGCCTCCAGGGCCAATTGACATTGAGCAGGCCACCACGGCGGCGGCGGTGGTGGTGGCGGCGGTGGTGGTCGGCAAGTGCCTTGCGTATGAACTGCTGTCAAATTGTTGTTAATCGTGGTCCAAAAATGTAATCGCACCTGGCCACTTCGCTGCTGGATGAAAGCCTCCTTCCTACGCCCGGGCAGGTCGTCGATGTTGTTCTGACCGTGCTCCGCCACGCCTGTCAGTGCGGGTGGGTGCAGGCGGAGAGCGTAGACATGGCGACATAGAAGTATAGTCCGACAACTAATGTACAGCTTTGTGGCATACTGTTGGCATGAATGACGCTGTATAAAACTAAAGTAATATTTTAAAACTGATTTTGCCTGCGCTGTTGTCTGCTGCCCTCAATCGTAGCTGCACGACAGCCTGTGTTTTGCGTCTCATGCACGGTAGTTGATCGTCCGAGCACTCCGCAGGCTCAACCTTGATGGGCTTCCAGGGTCGGCCTCCAAAGCGTTGGATTGCACTTAGCTATGCACCTGGCCTGTGATCCAGCACTGTGTAGGCAGCGAGGTTTGGTGGAACGCAGCACAAATCTTGTGAAACTCCCTTCTCGTGGGCATCGAGCCGGAGCCGTGTACCCTCGCTCGCCAGAAGGCAGCACAACAAAAATGTGCACCCCACCTGTTTCCGCCTGTATGGGATAGAGTGTTTCCCCCTCGCGTGTGAGGTTTATTTTTTTTCCCGGGTGCTCCCGTTTTTCCTTCCAAACGTTAACGCTCATTAAATGACTGATGACATTTTCATATATATAGAGGACCGCAGAGCTTGGGAAATTGTCGGCTAATCACGTGGCTGCCCCTTCCCGCTGGTCTGTGGTTCTTCGCACCTCTGAGTTTCTCTCAATTTGCGATGCGTCACAAGTTGACATTATTTCTAATGTAACAGCCAGGCACCGCCTCGCCCCGGCTATTCTAATGATTATTTGACGTCCGTGTGAATGTTTCTCTGCTGCTGCCGCTGCTGCTCTCACGTGCTAAACTGCGTGCGTATGCGTTCAGATTTCAAGTTCGTGACGTACACCGCGTCAATGGTGGCGTGCGGCAGCGTCGCGGCGGCCGTGCGAGGTCTGCGTCTGCACGTGCAGCACCCGGCGCTGTCCCCGCAGAGCCTCACGCTGCGACTTGCCAAGATCATCCACGCCGACCCGGTGAGCTTGCACGCGCACACGCACGCACTGGAGTCGACTGGCGGATGCACCGCCTGCACTCCACGCTCGTGTGCCACCTCGCTGCGTGTTTAGCCGCCCAGCGCTCTGGTCGTTGTTGCGAGCGTTGCTCATCCGCCTCCCATTGTCACCGCCTCCGTTGCCTCTTCTACGGAGGCCGATCTTGACGCCGCCGGTACCAGTCGTCGGCAGGTCCACTCGGATCAAAGTCCCACACTGGCGCCCCATTCCTTCAGCGTACTTGCGCACGAACACGAAGGCACGCGCACACACAGTCACGGTGCGAGGGCGCATTGTTGTTTATGCCGCTCTGAACCTGTGAGTGGTCGGTCGGGAGGCCCTGGCCCTCTGGGCCTCGTTGAGTCAAGGAGGGGGTCCTCGACGCTCATCTCGGCTCCCTTCTCTCATCTCCATCTCGTCTTCCCGCTCGAGTGCGGAAGGCATCGCGAGCCCTCCAGTGCCACTTGTCCGGGGGTGGGCAGCGTCTGGGTGGAGCCCGGCCCCGCCGGTCAAAACACCGGGGCCTGGCTTGCACACCAGAGCGTACAAAATAAATCCCCCCCCTCCCCCCCCCCTCCGTATAACAGACTTTTGGGGCAAGTGCTGTTAGCGAGTAGCACCTAATGAAGGCCAATACGGCCTTCGTAGGTCTAACCCAAGAAACCCTTAATTATATGGGTAAGGTGGAAATTGGACGTGGCGGTGTGCGTGCCGGAGTACGTGCCAACCGGCGCGTCTGCATCTTACCTGGCGGGCGTTACCAGCGCGAAGGGTTGCCCACCTCTTCGAAGGAACGAACCAAACCGAGACGTCGTCTCCAACAAAAATTAAATATCTCCCAAGGTACCGGCACAAAGGAGGGGAGAAGTACACGTGAGTGCAATGTGGTTCGCCGTTACGCAAACCGACACATCGCCGGGGAGCTGTCATTTCCCCAGGACGGCAGCTACCTGAGCAACAGGACGATGCTGGGAAAAACCTGGACAGGTGGCGGCCCTGGCAGCATACGTCTGGGTGTGTGCGTGTGTGCGCGTTGTTAGGGGTGCGTGTGTCGGCCAGTGTTATTACGCTATGGGAATGGAGGCAGAGATGTGTGTGTGTGTGTGGGTGGTGGATGGGGTGGGTGGGTGGATAAGGTGGGAGGGCTCGCAGACCATGGCTGGCCCCGTACGTGCACATTTTATTCGGCACAAGTCATTGTTTTTCTTTCCATTCCCACGGGGGCAGCTGGGAGGGAGGGAGGTGGGAGAGGGGGTGGCGGTGGGGGGCCGCGGGTTCAGGGGAAGGGAGAGAGGGGGTAGAGGGAGCTGGTGGGGGGGGGGGGAAGGTTGTGGGTGCAGGGGAGGGAGGTAAGGGAGGTAGGGAACCGGTGAGAGAGAGAAGAGCGCAAGAGGGGAGGGAGTTTCGCGCGCGCGGCATCGTACACGCACGTCAGGTGACCCGCAGATTACAGCCCTCGGAAATCCTGCAGGCGCATCTCGTCTGCCCCGCTGCCTTTCATCTCCCCCTTTGTTTCAAATCCTCCGGCGGGCCGGCGAGCGGCGGCGGCGGCAGCGGCAAGCGGGGAAGACAATGACCACGCCACTGAAAGCCCCATTGTCCGCCGGGCGGTCGGTCGGTGTGCTTGTCGATGTGCCGTCTTGTTGGTCACAGCCAGCCTGGTGCGAGCCCCCTCGCAGGAGTTGGGAGGTAGCGGGGCGGGGGGGTAGGTGAGTGGGCGGCAAGGAATGCCGGGCTAATTTACGGCTCGCCTTGTTCATTTCCCAACCAGCTCGCTCGCTCGCTCGTTCGTTTACTGGCCTTGAGAAACACTGTAAAAGGCGAGAAAATTCTCTGTCAAGGTGCAGGATGGCGAGTCGGAGGAGGGGGGGGGGAAGTGTTTGATGATAAGGTGATAATACGCGATGCAATTAGATGCGTACGTTTATGCTGCACAACATCATGAGAGCGCGGCGCTTGCAGATGCGCTCCTGCGGCCGTCTGGAATGCTCTTCCTTCAGATATTAGCAAGCCACCGGAGCGGTGCACTGTTCAATCTTGATTCTTCACAACTGCTTTTTGTGTTTAGTTTGTTGTCCTTCCCCCGCACCTCCGATAGGCGCAGTTGGCTACGTACCGTGTGAAAAAGCTCCTGCGTACGTTCAACACAACGGGAACATTTACACCTCCTGCGGGCCTCTAAAAGTCGCACACGCCGACCGAGCCTTGCACGCAAACACAGAGGTCCCTTGTATGGCCCCAAAACTCACCGCTGGTACGAGTGCTGTTAGCTAGAACCTATTGAGGCCACACTTGTTTCCCACGGGAAGCGAGACTGGGCACAGCACTAGCAGCAAGGGGGGGGCACGGTCGGATGTGACAAAGCCCGACCGTGCCCGCTGGGACCGTCAAAGAGTAATTTAACCTTTCGGAGTCGGGGGGGAAGCGCTTTAGGCAGCCAAGGTGGGAACGACCGAAATTGATAAGTATAGAAAATCAAAGTCAAAAAGCCTTGCCGGGTCAAAGAGGCGGTCATCCTCATTGGCAGCCACCGATCCACATTCCAGTTGTTGTTGTGGTGGTGATGGTGGTTGGACGTGGTGGCCAATAGCTGGCACAGTCCAGTAACTGGATATGTTTATCGAGAACTGCGTCCGTTTGCACGACGCCATTCGGTTCGCATGGGAAAATGTATTTCTTTATGAAGCCGTTGACCGGATTTTGATTCGTGGCCACGGCTAATGTGCGGGACGATGAGCGGTTATCTGAACTGGTCCCAAATCGAATGAATGTCAATGCTGATAATTAATAGCGAGAAAGTAAATAGACTCAATAATTTGTGATGGGTCGGCTGAGATGCACACCGCGGCATGCTCATGAATTCCCACTGCTCGCACCCTTGTGCTTGTCAGTAGTGCTGAGAGTGCTGGTTGTAGGTGGTGCTGCTGGTGGTCGGGGAGCGGTGGCGCAGCGGTTTTCTCGCTACGCTACAAAACCCGGCCACCCGAGTTCAATTCTCGCTCACTGCCAACACCAGTGACGATTATTTGAACCGGTCCTGGGGCTCCCCAAGGTCGACTCGGCCTCAAATGACTACCAGGTGTGGTGTGTAAACATCGCCACTGGGGAGACAAAGGCGGCCGAGCGTGGTGTTGGCCACCCACCCGCTCGTGTGCTGTGCCGGTCTTCATAGGAGCATGCTAACAGCACTTGCCCCAAAAATCTGAACCAGGTTATACAGTATGGGGGCTCTTTGTCTTCAGTGGTGTTAAATCTTGATTTGAAGTGGTGTTGGTGGTGGTGGCGGTGGTCATTGTGGCAGCGGTTGTGGTGGTGGAGGGTGGCCGGGGTGACAGACGGCGTGGCCGGGGCGTCTCACGTGACCGCCCCCTTCACCTGCGGAACCTAGAACCAGGGCAATTTCCGCAGACACTGACCTCGGAAATGCGAGCGAGAGTGGGGGCACGGAGTGCGTGGCACGGAGTAGGGGGTACCGAGTGGGGGGTACGGAGTGGGGGGTGCGGAGTGGGGGGTACAGAGTGGGGGGCACGGAGTGCGTGGCACGAAGTGGGGGGCACGGAGTGGGGGGCGCGGAGTGGGGGGTGCGGAGTGGGGGGCGCGGAGTGGGGGGCGCGGAGTGGGGGGCGCGGAGTGGGGGGTACGGAGTGGGGGGCACGGAGTGGGGGGTACGGAGTGGGGGGCACGGAGTGGCGGGTACGGAGTGGGGGGCACGGAGTGGCGGGCACGGAGTGGGGGGTACGGAGTGGGGGGGTCGAGTATGGACCAGTGGGGCAGCGTCTGCGTGGCAGGAGAGTGGAGCGGCGGTGCGGTGCTTTCGCGCACTTGCGCTAAAAACCTGACTACCTGTGTTCAATTCCAGGCCGTGGAATTGAACACAGGTCGTGCGCCGCCGTGCTGGCTTTAATTGGTGCTTGCAAACAGCACTTGCCCTAACAGTCCCCCTAAAGCTGCCTGGGGGAACTGCATTTGTGTAATAGGGTGTGTGCTTGTCTAGATGTGTGTGTATATCTACGTGTGTGTGTGTGTGTGTGCGGAGCGGTAGCGAAGGCTGTTGGCGGGCTGAGCTATGATCCTGGCCCCCCGAGTTCGATTCCCGCTCACGGCGAACACCGGTGACGATTATCTGAACTGGTCCCATGCCTCCCCGAGGTTGACTCGGCCTCAAATGACTTCTTGGTGCGATATGTAAACATCGCCACTAGGGTAACAAAGGCGGCCGGGCGTGGTGCTGGCCACCCACCCCCTCATGTGCAGTGCCAGCCTTCATAGGTGCTGCTGCTGCTGCTCGCGAACAGCACTTGCCCCAACAGTCTGTTAAGGCTATACGGGGGATCTTTATCTTCACGTGTGTGTGCGTGTGAGTGGAGGGACCTGCTCAAGCATACTTGCGAAGATGTTTTCCCTTCACCCACCCCTACATCATACCCCCCCCCCTAACTATAAAGCCTCACCACTCGTAAACGAACAAGCCCCCCCATTCATCCTGGCCCATTCTACATCATCCTGTCTCTGCAAGACTCTCTCTCATCTCTCCGTCTCTTGCCCTTACCACCCTAAGTTCCCCCCCCCCCCCCCCCCTTGCCTTGTGTTTGCATGACCTTTCTTGTCACCTCTCCTCTTTCCGTGTCGCTCCTCGTAACTTGTTGGCCCCGTGCCCCTACTGGACACCTGTGAGAAAGAGCTTTCATAGTTCGTCGGATTCCTCCGGTCTAAGTAAAGATTCTGATCCTTTGGGTGTTATGGGTGTTAACCGGGGGCTTAATTCCTCACTCGATGTTTTTCGGAACTCCTGCTCCATTGGCTTCGGGTCTATATTATTGGCATAAGGCACTACCACTAGAGAATTCGGTAGGCCTATCCCAGAACAACAATCTTATATTCTCGTACCCAAAAGTACATTTCCGCATCCGATGATGCTCTTGACCAGATGTCTAAACTCGATCTACCCTTGTGATTTTGCTATTTCCACATTCGTTTATAATTTAGGGTCCAGACGGCGAAGAGGAGAAAGTGGTGCTCCGATTTCCTCCCAAGTGTACAAACGGTCATTAATTGGCTGAAAACATCTTCATATGTAGAGGATCGCAGAGCTTGGGAAATTGTTGGTACCGCTGGATGACGTTATGATTATTAATTGTTATTATAATCCTATGCACAGTTGTTATGGGTGTGCTTTTCTTTAACGGAACCGGATTCGCATGAAACGAATGTCACCTTAACCGCATTGACGAAGGGCTGGTAATTATGATCAGTTAATACGCGTTACGCACGCTATGAAATAATTGTGAGTCTGGTTTAACGCCCACGTATATATATCCTGGATTCCACCGCTTATGAATAGGTCTCACTCTTTTTATACCCTAATATTTGCAATCGTATTTAATCAGATAATTCGGTCAAAGCTGCTTCTCTTTCCTTCGTGTGCTTTCTGTTATGTCTCTTTTATTCCCCATCTCTCTCAACTTCCCATCTCCCTCTGTCGAACGCTCTCCTTTATCTCTTATCTCCCCGCCTTGATTACTTCTCTGGCTTTCCCTTCTCATCTTACTTTTTCGAAGAGCCCCTTCATACTTTCTCTTTCACATTCTCTCTTGCTCTCGCCCGCTGCCTCCCTACATCACCCCGACCGCACACTTACGCGCACGCACGCACGCGCTCGCCCCCGCGCAAAGACAAAGGCGCCCCCGTATATCGCCTTCTAACAGCCCGTTGGGGCAAGTGCTGTTAGCGAGTAGCACCGACGAAGGGCACGCACACACATGCCCACACACGCACTCCCACCCAAACATGCACTCATACGTGTACACACATGCAGAAACATGTGCGCACGCACACCCGCCCGCCCGCACGCCCACACACGCGCACCCTCGGCCCCGGCGCTCCCCGGCCGGGCCCCGGATTGGGCTACAGATCTGACACCCAAATTCCACCCCTTGGGCCCCGTCATGGGAAAGCGGTGGCGTCTGACCGCCTCACGGCTCATGGCCAGCGGGGGGCCGGGGGGGGGGGGCACAATCTCAGTCGCCACGCACAAAGACAAAGATCCCCCGTGTAGACTTCAACGGACTGTTGAGGCAAGTGCTGTTAGTGAATAGCACCTATGAAGGCCGGTACTTTGTCTCCCCAGTGGCGATGTTTACACACCGCACCAGGTACCGATTTGAGGCTCAGTCGATCTAGGGGAGGCCCAGGACCGATTCAGATAATCGTTACTGGTGTTGACCGTGAGCGAGAATCAAAATCGGGTTACCGGGTTCGAAACACAGCGAGCTAATCGTTGCACTACCGCTCCCCACTACTCATCGCCCACACCCACTCACTCACCAGCCACTCACCAACCAGCCACCGGTTCACTCGAACACACAAATCAACTCGCCTCACTGCGCGCCAGGCACACCGACCGCTCACGCGCATCTCACCAACGAGAATCACTCGCTCACCAGCCAGCCACTCGCTCACCAGCCGCTCACCACCCACTTATGAGCCAGCCTCTCACTCATGCAAAGAGACATATAGCCACTCAAATGTTCTTGCTGTGGATTTCACACCTGATGATGATTGCTTGTGTTGCAGTCAAAACGTCGTGATAATTTTTGTTTTATATATTTTTTTTATTTCCCTTCTACGTGACTTTACCGAAAGAACCAAGAATGTATAGCCACCCGTCACCGTTTCGCACTCACTCAAACACGCATACATACACACATACACAGACTCACTTACCACTCGCTCAGACTTGCATACACCCACTCACCAGCCAGGCACTCGCCACTCACACTACGCACACCCACTCACAACCTACTCGCCCGTCGCTCACCATGCACACGCATTCATCACCCACCCACTCACCGCTCGCTCTCGGCTTGGGCACAACTTCACACACTCGCCACAGGTTGCACCCTTCACGAAGCCATGCACACAGCTTGACTCAATAGGGAAGCATGGCTGCACTCTACTGATTATATATTATTTTCAATCGGCAGTGAAACACGGTTATGTAACGATCTCTCATTACCTTTCGGGCCCCCGTTTTAATAATATAATCACCACTATGTGTTCCTATACCCCATATGCCCTCTGCAGGTCTCTCGTTGCCATTTGGGATTTTTTTTTTCAAATCCCATGTTTCCGCGTGACCTAAATATTGGGGTTGTGATCATTGACGACCACCGTCACCAGCCCCGGCCTCACGAGTCAATGGCTGGGAGGGGCTTGCGTGAACCCACTTAACCCATTATGGTGCGCCATAATAAATCTACTGCTGGATGGGAGGCCTCTCCTCCTGTAACAATCCACACACGGCACCTGCAACGCGAGATGATTTTTGTTTCACGGCTCACTCTCCTCGGTTGACGAGTCGCTCCTTGCACGTGCAATTCGATGAGTGAAAGCATCGCGAGCTTCAATGCACGCACACGTGAACGCGTACAAAGCACACCACGTGGGAGGAATCATTTTTGTGCTGAATTCATAAAACAGGCGTCCCACCCCAGCATTAGCCAGGAGCACCACGGCCAGCGAGTGCATTCCCACCAGCCATAGTCTCCAAACACAAAAGGTCCCCTGCACAGCCTTCGCAGACTGCCGGGCACAGCGACGGGTTTGACACTGCGCGTGTTTTTTTGTTGTCCCCGTCTCGTCGTGGGGGTTTGCAGGACTTCCTGCGCGCGTGCCAGGAGCAGATCGAGGGCCTCCTCGAGCACAGCCTGCGGCAGGCCCACAGCACGGGGCCCGCGGGCGGCCCCGACGGCGACCCCAAGGGCCTGGAGGAGCCCGACCTGGCCTGCACCCCCACGGACGTGCGCGACGTCAACCTGTGACGAACCAACTGCTGGCGGGCGCCGCGGAAAGAAGACGGCAGAAGAAGAAAACGCACGGCGGGCGAGAGACTGACCGTCGACCGCGGCAGCGTGCGTCGCCTAATAATACGACGACCGCCGCCTGTGCTGCCCCTCCTCCTGCGCCAGCCGACTGCTCCTCGCGGCGGCAGCACCAGCAGCAAGTCCGTGTGCCTTCCGGAACAGGGCGGCTCGTGTCCATCGCGATGCGGCTCGGGCGGGTGTTGTGACGCGCCCGGCCAGGTGCCGGACGCTTCCTATCCGCCGCTTGGGGTCTCGCTCCGTGTCTGCACCTGCCGTCCCCCGCATCCATCAAAAAAACGATCGCGACTGGGGGGGGGGGGGGGGGGTCGGCGGGTGGTGCTCGTCTTCTCCGCTGGTGGTACCCAACAAACAAACCCAGCAGCGCCAATCGGCGCATCCCTTTGGCGTGGAAAGACTCGCTTTGGTGCCCGCAGGACCGACGCTGTGGATTTTGTCGCGCAAGATAGTGCTTGTTGTGTCGGCGGCCTTGGAGAGGGGGGTGGGGGGGGGAAATAAATATGATATTTGAACTTGGAACTGTAGGATTGAATTGAAACGACTGCCTTGACGACGTCGCCATCCGAATGGGACGAGTCGTTGGCAAGGAAAGAGACGGTTGAAGGAGAGCGGACCATGTGCGCGCACTGCAAGATTTCAATCCCTGCAAGATGCGCGTTTATCTCGTAATTTGCAGGAGATGTGATTTTGTGCTTTTTTATTGATTGTTTTTTATGGTTGTTGGGGAGTTGCTGCGAATGCTGCGGGCTGTTGTGGGAGGGGGTGAGGGGGGAGAAGGGAGAAGGAAGACGACAGAAAGAAGAACTGAAATAAATTCGCCCATTACCCACTCACAAAGGGACCTCTGAAAGGGAAATAAAACAAATATAAAATTAAACAGCGCAGCAGCGCTGGCGTGGCGTTAGCGACGTGCCATGCTTTGCCGGTATTTGGGACAACTCCCTGAACAGAGAGTGAATGGGCAAAACAATGTCACAGAGAGAACATCGTTCTTTTATTTTTGACGAAAAATAATTCACCTGGAAAATCCCCTTTGCCGAGACGGAACATCTTGTTTGAAAGGTTGTCCGGGTTGTCATTTGAGGCGATGTGCACCCTCACCGCGTGCAAATCGGCGCCGCGCAAACCTAAACCTGTTCTGAGAGCGCTTGTTTTTTTCAACCGCATTACGCACGGACTTTGGAAGGTCTTTGATCGTGCTGTGGCACACAATGTTACCACGCTTTTGATATCCAAGAACCTTCTGTTTCAGGTAGCAAATAACCTCCTTCGGTCAGCTGACAAGCGGCTCGCGAGTGCACGAGTCATCCTCGATCTGAGCGCCGCATTTGTCTCCATCAATCATCCAAATTCTTCTCCCACGCCTTGAAACCCTTGATGGGAATTTCTCTGCTCAGCCCTGTGATTTGGCTTCGCTCATTCACCACAACACAATCTGTCTCGCAAAAATGGCTGCACATCAACCGTCGAACCAGTCCTTGTATGGTGTCCCACAGGGCTCCGGCCATGGACTCCTGATTCTCAATATTCACCTCGTGCCCCTGAGTTCATTGCCTAAGCAACTTGGACTGATGTCACGCAGATATATCCCCACCTCTCCTCCCACCCGCGATGCACGGCAGCCGACTCCCAACTTCACTATAACTAATGAAGTCATGGCTGAACCAGAACTACCTATACAACTCAACATAGCCAAAACCAAATATTTTTTTCTCCTCGATCTCGTCCTTCTCTCGTGTTGACTATCGCAACGCTCCGTTGCTCGCGGTTCCGACCGATGTCTTGGGCCGACTGCAGCTGGCCCAGAACGCGGCTGCCGGGGTGCCCACGCGGACCCCATCCCGCGAGCAAATTCATCGCCCCAATAATAATAATAAAACCTCTGCATTGGCTTCCAATTAAACGGTCCTGCGGTGACCGATGGAGGCTCTGCATGCGCTGCGCCGAGACGATGGAATGCCCTGCCCCACCACCAGTTGTTAAGACAGGCGAGGTCGCCTGCCCTGTCTCGCTTTCCTCTAAAGACCTCGAACTGTTTTGCCTGCAGGGCCTACAGTGAACTCCGGACTACCTTGTAGTATTTATATTTCCTAACTCCGTGCACGGCGCACCGAGACCCCTGCATGAATTGCGCCTTCGTAAATGTCAATTATGATTATCATCACAGTGCCTTTCTCGTCTTGTCGGATGGGGAGCGTCTTTGCTGCGCTGTAACCTCCCTGCCTTCATAACTTTGAGAGGGGGGGGGGGGAAGGAACCCTTGACCCTCCTGCCCTGTCGGGGGAGGGGGGGGGTCTCGCCCACAGGACTTTTTTTTGTGAGACCACGTTGCGTGTCATTGCCGATGCGTGACCACATGACCAGCGATTGGAAGCATCTGTCTGTTTGTGCGGTCTTGGAAATGGAAAAAAGGTTTTCTTCTAAAAGAGAAATTGCCTCGTAAAATGCGTCGTGGCTTTAGAGCTGCTAAGAGAGGTGGTGTGTGCGGTAAGAGCTGCCATTTCACTCCGTTTAAATTAGATTTTGTTGCATTTGAAACGTTTTCAAATGTTGTCATTTTACTGCCACTGTGAGCGCATTCACTGCCAAGTTTGTGCCTTCCCTGCGCTCTGCATTCGTCGACAAACGGCAACACTTTGAAGTGTAACCTTTCACTTCCTAAAGGGTGCCCGCCCCACTTCTCCGATTGAAATCGAAGCCAATAATTCGAGAGCTCCTCGTTGGTCGATAAGCGTCGGCCGCTTCACGTTCGTATAATTTTTTGCCGCGAATTTAATCACAAACGTTTCCGTCTTTTATTTAAACGAGCAATAAGGCCCCCCCCCCCCCGCCAAAATAATGCTGCTCGGGGCTCGTTGGGAGAATGAAGCCACGCGTCTTCGTGAATCACTCCGCATCAAATCACACGGCAGAGCACTTTTTTCGCCTCCCTTTTGGGTCGAGATTTTCGACCCCACCCCCCCCCCCCCCCCCACGTGTCGAGGCAGGAAAATGGCGATGGGAGTGTTTCGAGAAGAGGGAAGCACACGTGTGCCATGTGTGTGGGGCTCCTTTTCTGTTGTTACCTCCTCGTGGGAGCAGGGGCAGCCGACGCTCGCTCTGTGTGTCGTCCAATTTTCGTCAAAACATTCCAAAAATATATAAATATATATAGCGCCTAAAACAAAAGTGGGGGGTGGGAGGTAAAACACGACGGTCGTAACCGATGATGCATTCCGCAAGCGTCGCCTGCTCGTTTTGTGTATAAACTAGCGGCAACTGTTAACTAGGTAAATAATAAGGGTGTGTTAAACATTCCTGAGTTGTGATACGCAATAGAAAGATTGTAGACTGGTAGGGAGGCGCTAGGCATCGTGTACCGTTCGTAGGGCAAGAGACGAAAATAATATTTCGCGGAGAAATATCTCGATTATTTGCTGTCAAGTGTGGTTACAGTTCTGCCGAAGGATTCGGTTAGTTTTTTACGAGGTTGTAGGGGCTAGGTGGTAAGTGTTTCCCAGCTGGGAGTGAAATGAATGTGACGAGCGTGTTTCGTGGAGGGCAACTCCGATGTAAGTTGGCTATTTTGGATGTGTTGCGTGGCATGCTGTGTCCGCCCGCGGGCACGCTGGGAGCGAGAGGTTCTGGCGGTTGAGGCGGCAGGGTTGTTGTATGTTGTTGTGCGCTGGTGGCGCAAACGCGACCGCGCGTGTTGCGAGCGTCAGGACGTCGCGTGGCATCTGGGCCCCGTGGAGCCGTGCGCTGCCGGCTGGAGGACCCATCCCCGAGTTTAGCGGTGTCGGGGAGGACGAGATGGGAGAGGAGGAGGCCAGAGAAGAGGAGAGAGGGACTTTGATGAATAAGAGAGACTTCGTGGAGGTTTTGTGTAGGGGGGTTTGGGTACATCCCTGGCATCTCCCGCACACGGACAAAAAGCGAGAACGCTGATGTGAGCGCGGGGTGCGGGGACTTGGGGAATGAAAGGACCTCGCGAGACGAGCTGCGCGAGTTGCTAAAGCTGCTTGACATTTTTTTTTATAATCAGTGCCTGTTGCCGTGACGTCGGTTTATAAATATTAACCTTGTGCTGCTATTTTATTAAACACACGTTGTATGACCTTTTATTATTATTATCATCATCATCATCAAAACAATGACCTTAAATATAGTAGACCAGTTTATTTTAATCGTTTTTTTTTATTGAATCCGAATGTTAACGTCGCCGCGGTTGTAAATTAAACGTGCCCGTTTTTGTGTAACCATCGCTAACCCCATTCACCCCCTCCCCCACCCCCCAAAAAAACCCCCTGCGCTGTGCCACCAACAAACCGGACCCACCCACCCCTCACTTTGCCCAAATCTGCAGAATGACGAGGTACTGTGCAGTCGCATCAAGGTGGCCGGTCGGGCAGGATCGTGAGGGGGGAGGACATTCATAATGGCCCGTGTCAGAGACACTGAATCGGCACTGTTGGCCAACATCGTTTCGACTTGTTCCTCAAGCCACCAATGCGTGGGATTGGCTTCTGACGTGTATTGTGTCCACGGCGGTCTGATTGTTGCCTGCAAACAAGTGCACCACTAACCGTAAGAATTAACAAAAACGTTATCGCTTAAATTGGCCAACCCCAGCTCTTGACGGCTGGAGTAGAAAATCTAAATAGTTTGAGTGGCTGACAGAAGGCGAAACTGTTTCTTTGAATCATGGATCGCCTTCTGATATTGAACTGGCAGAAGGAAAATTATCGGTGATGAAATCTCAACTCTCCGTTTGTGTCTTTTTTGGGTCGTCGTACCGCGCGTCTGGTTCGGCAAGGTGTCCCGACGTTTCGCTCCACGACGAGCTGGGAGTTTCGTCGGGAACTAGATCGTTCAGTTTCGGAAGAACACTGAGAATGCATCGGAGCTGTGTCCAGCGCAGCTGTGAAAATCCACCTGCTCATTTTCATGTCGAGTTGAGGTCCCTGCAAAGTCAAGCTCTGGAGTGTGCCATTGTGCGCCTGTTCCATTATAATTTATAGATTTCAGGCACGGACATACAGTAGGTAGTATTTGTGCAAGTTGCTAACGTGGTGCGCATGTTTCTAGCAAACTTTGGCAATGTGGATTGATCGATCAACTCTTCGTCCGTCCTCCCCTTCGATTCGATGTTTTCCCATACGGTGGGGTGGAGTTTGATCAGCCACGGTTTATGAGTTCGTGTCCAGTTTGGCAAGTGGACAGCGTCATGAGTAGCCTGGTGAATATCTGAAACTCTGCCGGTGAATGATCGAAGCGGGCAGTGGCGTTAACTGTGTGGGTCGACGGTTTTGAGTTTGGCGATCGAGTTCCAGCGGTTGGATACTCTCACAGTTTTGCCATCTGTGCAAGGGGTTTTATATTCCCTTTTTTGGCGGGGGTGATTGTGAACCAAAGGCCCCCCCCCCCCCCCCAACTTCACCGCTCGCAAAGTTGGAACAGGACACTTTCTGGACTCAACTCCGTTGTTTCGGCCACTCGCCGGAGATACGCCGCCCGGGTCGGACACATTTCTCCGTGCGCGCCCTCCTCCTGAAACCGCACCGCCGTCAGCCAACGCTTCACGCCCGTCAACCACGCGCTAACGATGAACTAAAACCGTCACGCGACTATTTTATTTCTCAAGTTTTCGTTTAGCTTAGTCGCATCGGGGGCGGCGGGGGGGGGGGGGTGTTGTTTTTTTTTGAAAGTGAGAAGCAAATTGAGCGGAGAAGTTGCGCACGAGGGGTGGAGGGAAAAAGATTTCGCTCAACTGCCGCCACATCCCCCAATAGCACCGGACACACGACCGGCTAAGTTGACCCGACCCCGCGGCATTAACACATTAACAACGACTTTGCATTGTTGTTAATGTTTCTCACACGTTGGCGACCATGGCACAGGATATGGCTCGTTGAAACCTCTTTTAAGTGATGGTGATGATGTAATGTCTAGCTTTTTGTTGTTGTTGCCGTTATCGTTTTTAATTGTAAGCATTTTGGTGGATGTCGTCGATTTCATCGTTCTTACTCTCCAGAAAGAAAGAAAAAATGCCATATTCAGTACCTCACCTGAGCTGCTAACACAGATCACACGGATGAATGGGTGCGTCCGCTACGATGGCCGCTTTTGTTTATGTGACGTTTGCTGCTCTCCTCACCACGGGTGCTTCAGTGCCACCACGATGGCCAGGGTGCCCCCCTCATGCTGGCATTCACAAACCGTACCCCCACCACGTTTTCGTGCCCCCCCCCCCTGCCCACGTATACACGAGAGGGTTCAAGCCGCCCCTTGCAGATGTGGACACGTGACAAACCAGTCTCCAAACAGGGTCTTTGGACGATAGGCCAAAGAGAGACGAATCTCTAATGGCAGCTGACGACCGTGGGGGGCTTTATGTGATGGACCAAGAGACCAGTCCGGTGGGTTTTAAGACCACGGACTGACAAGACTATGATGATCGTCTTAAATGCACCGACACACTAATCCCCAATGGGATCTTGAGAAAGTATTGTAAATTGACAAAGGTGGGTCTCCGATGGGCATTGGTTCTCCTTTTTCACCGCCTTAATACTGTCGCTTCATATAATCGGCTGTTTCTGCTCTATGCCAAATTGATTTGGGGTAGCATCATTCTTGGGTTGATTTGATTACGTAACCCTTGAATTGAAACGAACCTAAATTTGCAGTTTTTGTGATCGCAATTACCTTGCGGTGGACATACAAGGTAGTTTTGATTTGGACACAGCTCAGCTGGTGGAACGGTAGGGTCCCATTCAAGAGATAGCGAGTTGCGATTGTCCATCGTGAGTGATTTAAATGAGCATGACCTGGGCCAATGCCTCACGGAAAGTCACGAGCCGTTGTCCATGTGAAGTTTCCAACACTGTCTCACCAGCGTCTTAAGATGCGCCGCTGTCCAATACCCTTTGAACTATGATCCCACATTTGAAGCTTTCGTGACTGCAGGAATCCATACTCTTTGGTTTTTTCGCCTACTTCAGCAGTTTTTTCTTGCTGTGGTTGTCCCACCTGATGTTCGATTGCTTGTGTGGCAATCGAAACGTCGTGATCTATTATTTTTCTACCTACGTGACTTTTTCCCCGAAAGAACAAAAGAGTATGATCCCACAATTTAAATTCTGATTTAACTGGGCAAAGCCAGTGTGCCGGTGGTGGGAGTACGGTTCGTAAGTGTGCATTCCCCGTGCCACTCTCGCAATAAACTTGAATGCAAACACTGAGTGCGGTGTCCGTGCGCGACGTTGTGGGTATTTGTCGGTCACACAGCTTGGTATGTGTGCGTGGAATTTTAAAAAGGGGCATTGAGTGCTCACAAAGTTATTAATTCAAACATTTCTTTTAATGGAATTGTCCATTTGACCATCTTGCACAGCCTTTGTCAACACAATAAAGTTTGCAAGGAAATCGTGGCTTTTCGTCGCTTTCTTCGGTTGTTTGTAAATCCCTCCCGTTGGCGTTGCAACCTCCACTTAGTGGTCGAGTTCATATCGAGAAGTGCTGTAACCCATGAACATCAATGGCAGAAACGACTCTAAAAAATACTGCTAGGAAGTGTCTAAATGCAACCGCATCCTATCTCAAGGAGCATAAACTATCACGTAAACTCTGGTCATCCTCGCAGCAGCTTTTGGCTAACCATCGAACAAAGACGGGCACTGCATCGCGCTTTCAGGCGCTCTTCCAATATTAGGAAGCCACTGGAGCTGTATGCATTTTAAAATCTACGTGAAATTTTTTTTTAGAACTGCATTGTTTAGTTTGTCCTTCCCCCCGCACATCCGGTTAGCACGGTTGGCTACATCCAGTGCAAAAGAAGTTCAACAGGATGACGTGGATGGAAAATAAATGTTACAAGCCGCACATGCCTGATCATTGCAAAACATGCTCCAAGTAACTGAGGGCTCATTCAAATTAAGACCGAGATCTTGTGTGCAGAGCTCATTCACATTAAGACTGATCTTCTGTGTGGGCGTGCTTGTCCCAGGCGACATAGAACGTGCCGATTTAGAAGTGTGCCGTAACCTGGGGCTATTCCACAATATTGAGGCGTGCATCGCATGTGAAGACTTGCCTATCTCAATGGAGCAGAGTGATACACTTCCAAAGGTCGACTTGTTATAGTTGAAATTGCACCGGTGCATAACTTAGAGCTCACCACGTGTATTTAAAACACGAACAAATCGCGTTAGAAACAAGTTTAATCATATGTTGTAGAACACCTGCAGAGTAGTTGTGCCTTGTAGCATGGAGCTGTAAGTTGGCTTCTGGCCTGTCGGCAGATATGTTCCGTGTTATTCTCTTTCTGCATTTTCTTCAGGCATTCCAGTTTTTTTGCGTGTGTGGGAAGCAGTTACATGTGTATTGCGATGTGGAATGGGTGCGCACTAGCTATCTAAAGCTAGATATATATTTTTTATAGCTTGTGTGGGTGCAGATTTACATTGAATCGCGTGAACTAAATCCAGTTGATCCAGTTCACATCTGATACGATGACATCAGATATGATGTGAACTGACAGCTCAAGTGTAAAAGCAGCTACAGTTCCAGAAGTGATATTTGTGGGAAGAGGAGGGATTAGGAGTTATGGGGTCAATGCTTTGCACTGTTTCCACATTACCACACCCAGTTTTATGCGTGCCAAAACCTACCGCTGCTGCCCGAACCATGCAAGCAGCGTGCCAAGCCAGTCCAAGGCGTGTCCTCAAACCGCACGACCTTGTCTCGCGCCCTAGCCCCCTGGCACACTTTCTCCCCCCACCGTCTCCACTGCTCTTGGCCAATGTGGCCCGATCTCAGGAATTCACTTGCCCGCTTGGCAGAAATCTAGCCAACGTTGGGGTGGTGGTGATTAGCAAATGCTCTTTGAAAGATAATTGGTTGTGGAGTTTAATGGTTGCACACCTTAGCTTATGGTAAACCGATTGCAATTCCGCTTCTTTCTTTTTTATTTCGAAATGTTGTTGCCGTTATCATGTGCGATTGGTGTCATTAGACAAAGTATGAAATCGGGTCTCGTACAGAGCAGTGCAAGTCCTTGGTGTTAGAGAATGATCCACCCAAGCGGATGCCACACAGCTACCTCTGAGATGCTTTCAAGTGATCTTTGGTCCACACAGTAGGGGCCAGCACTATCCATCTCACACCGAGAGTAAGCTTCGCTATGAAATTCAAGTTTATATTTTGTAATTCTCAGAGCTAAAAATGTGATGGTTTTTTTGTAATGTCCATTGGTGACCAGGCTGAGAACTTCAACACACTACACCTGGGAGCCCGGTTTAATCACAGGCAGCTACCTGGATTTGAACCCAGGCCAATGCCCTGACCTCTGAGCCCCCTGGGGACCTCGTCACCAGTCTCAAAGCCAATGTAGCCAAGTGATTGAGAGGTGAGTGATGCAACGTCATCGGTCTCTTAAAACCGAGTTGACTTCGTAAGGGTTCAGACTGGATTAGAAGTTGGTCCGTGCAGAAGCGTTGTGCACAGTATTGGAAGTCTGCCTCCACACCATGGTTCTGGCCAGCAGATTTGAAAATCAGAGAACAGTCCAACGAGCACGTAGTTTAACGTGTGCGTAGAGACAACGTCAGAATGTGGTCCCAGATGCTGATGGTTGGCTCATATGGATGGGGACATTGATCAGTGAGCACACCTGCAAAAAAACAGTGGGAGGCAGCACACACATACACACAAAGGGTTGTAAACATTTACAATATCTCAAGTGATTGCACAGACCAGCAGCCAACACTTGCCACTGAGCCATTTCTGACACCCATACAGCAATCATGCACTCCAGGATGTTGAATGCAATACTCCTATACTCTTTGGTTCTTTCGGTAAAGTCACGTAGGTATAAAATAAATCACGACGTAATACTCCTTCCAAGAACAGTGGTCTGGCCCACTGACTGAATCACCTTACCGCAGCAACGTCATCATCATGAGCTCCAGTATGACCAATCAAGATCTGGATTAAAGCCCCTCCAATCATGGCCACCTCTCACGGTCTTGCGGTGTAATAATCCATCTTGCATCTATGATGACTGTGTACCCACGAAAGCCTCACAGAGTCTCCCGACTCTTTTTCAGGAGGGCCCTGCCAAGTTTTCGCAGTAGGGGGCGACGATTGTAGGTATATTTCAACCGGGTCATTTGTAGGTAATTTTTTTAATTTGGACTGCCATGCCAGCACAAAATGGCCGACTTTTGCGAATGATGTCACGGGATCTTTAACGTCCACTGCAAATCTGACGGTGTATATATATATATATTTGTTATCATTAATACACCTACAATAGTAAATCAGGGCGGCCAATAAATTAAAACCATTAACCTGTACAACAAGCGGCAAACACGTTAGCGCTGGGCCATGTCACTGCCCATGAATCTGCATAAACAAAAGCTTGGCATTTACACTGAAAACTGAAGTCACCTGCTTGAATTTAGCCCGAATCTTGTCCAGGTTTTCCTGCAGCTCAGGATGGGTCGCATCCTGGATCGGACAGCTGCGGATGAGCAAGGATAGCGCCTCCAAAGCCTTGAGTTTTCGGCTAAAAACACAAAGCAATTCCACAGGTAAGGGTACATTTGTACCGGGCTTTACGACCCAAAACCACATCCACCTCCACAACCGTACCCATCATGATCACCAGCAATGCTCTTATCCACTGCTGGATTAGGGCCTCCCCAAGCCATCACCAATCCCTTATGGTCCCACAATCCTCTTGGGCGTATATCCTCCATGACCTGCCACTCCATCGCTCGTTTCCATCATCCCAACGACGTGTCCTGCCCAACACCGCTTACTTTTCTTAACAGTAAATATGATGTGTTTAACCTGCATATGTTTTTCATCTACGTGTTCCTCCGTCTCTCAAGTGTAATTCCAAGTACGTTTTTCAGCTTTTGTTACATTTTCTTTGCCATTGTCCACGTTTATGATTCACGTGGCATCGCAAGTAATACAATGACAAGAAACTTTTTTTTAGTAAGGACATTGATATGTTTGTTGCTTGATCTGTAGGCAGTAGTAAAACGAGTAGGATGCCGGCCTATCCGTACAGATTTACTTTTGATCTCCTTCTATGTGTGGGATTTCTCCTGCCACTCCGGTTTACTCCTGCAAGCAAAGATAATTAATAAAGTGTTGGCCAAAAATGGACAAGGAATTGGCCAAACATTATTCTTAGAAAAGTGTCCCAAATCTCAAATCAATAAAGTATGATTATTACCTTGACTTGACATCGCTTTCACCTCCTCTTTGCAGCAGGCTCTGCCAGGTAACCGTGAAGCCATAGTAGAATGCTACCTGATGAAGATCACAGAACACAGTCCACTTACCTAATTAAAATAAAATAACTATTTACAGCCCTTTGTCACTTTGCTGCTTGATTAAAGCCTAAAGCCTCTCCATATCGACTCAACTCAATCATGGGGGGGTGGGTTGTTTGACCACATACTGGTTAGTGTGGGTTGGAGTGAAGGTGGCGGCAGTGAGAGAGAGATATATAAGGACCAGAAAGTGCTGTCTGTCTGATCCAGCACATGCAGAAATGTGTATGGAACAAATGTGGAAGCAGTGACATACATATTCTTTGGGTCTTTCGGTAAAGTCACGTAGAAACGTTCAAATTAATAAAAATAAATCAACAAACTCCGACGTTTCGATCACAACACAAGCCCTCGTCATCAGGAGGAAAAAAAATGATCGAAACATCGTAGTTTTTTGTTTATTTTATTTTTATTAAATTTAACCTATCTACGTGAATTTAACACGTAGGTGACTTTACCGAAAGACCCAAAGAATATGAATTCCTGCAGTCACGAAAGCTTTTAAGTCAAGATTCAGTGACGTACAGTTGACATTCCTGTAATGCCCTCGACTGCCCAACGTGGAGTGGGCGGGTGGGCGGGTGGGTGGGGAGCACGTTTCTCAAGGGTAGGTTAAACCTCCCTCCTAGAGCGAGACGTCTGCTGGCAGTCGGATGATCAGAGTTTGCAGGTCGTGATAACGAAAGGGGCTTCTTGGCTAACATCGTTGTTACCGAAAAAACCTAAGAATATGAATCCTTGCAGTCACGAATACTTCAAATCTAGAATTAACATCGTTGTGTTTCAATTTCGATTTAAAGCTTTCGTGACTGGAGGGATTCATCTTCTTGGTTCTTTCGGTAAAGTCACGTAGAATGGAAATAATAAAATAATAAAAATAAAACATAATAAAATAATTCTCACACGACGTTTCGGCCACAACGCAAGCAGCCGTCCTCAGGTGGAGAACAGGTCTGTCGAGAAGACAGCGTCTCCCAGACGTGACTTTACCGAAAGAACCAAGAAGATCGTTGAGTTTAGTTTGTTGTCCTTCCCGTCCGCCCGTGCCCGCCCCAGCACCTCCGATGAGCACGGTTTGGCTCCGTACGTTACCTCGGCCGCGATGGCGCCTCCGTGCTTGACGCCGAGCTGCCAGCCCTCGACGAGACCCTGCCGTCGGCCTCGCTCAAACCCCTCCTCGTGACCCTGGACCTGTCTCCTGTGGTGGCAATGGGCGAGACCAGGAGGGGGGAGGAGGAGGAATAGGACGCATAAACACGGGCATGTCGTTTCATGGGCACGCGTGCGCATTTGTAAAAAAAAAAATTGGCAACATGGCTCAACGTGCGCATGAAACGGCTAATCCAGACACATTCCAGTATGGTGGGAAAGTAGTTAAGCCTGCTCCTTTACACTTACTGCCAACAGACGTGACTTTTGACAGCCGTGTGCCTCGCTGACAATGGCCGGGGCAAGTCAACGCAGTGTACATTCACGTCGCGTCTTAATGTGGCCGCATCTCAGAGGTGATGTATGGCAACAGTGGGCATGGTCGGTCAAAGGCAGAGGGGGGGGGGGGAATTCGTTATTGAGCATGGACTTGAAGAGCGGCAGGCAGTCGACAGCACGGATGGCAGGGCTAAGGAAGTGGCCAGACCGTATGGGCAGCAGAGGAGAATGAGCGATCTCCTCATATGAGAAGGGCTTCGATTGGAAAGCCTCGATTATTGGAGCGGATATTTCATGGAGGGGAGTAGAGTGAGATGAGAGGGGAGAGGTAGGAGAGTGTGTGGAGGGGAGTAGAGTGAGATGAGAGGGGAGAGGTAGGAGAGTGCGTGAAGGGGAGTAGAGTGAGATGAGAGGGGAGAGGTAGGAGAGTGTGTGGAGGGGAGTAGAGTGAGATGAGAGGGGAGAGGTAGGAGAGTGTGTGGAGGGGAGTAGAGTGAGATGAGAAGGGAGAGGCAGGAGAGTATGTGGAGGGAAGTAGAGTGAGATGAGAGGGGAGAGGTAGGAGAGTGCGTGAAGGGGAGTAGAGTGAGATGAGAGGGGAGAGGTAGGAGAGTGCGTGAAGGGGAGTAGAGTGAGATAAGAGGGGAGAGGTAGGAGAGTGTGTGGAGGGGAGTAGAGTGAGATGAGAAGGGAGAGGCAGGAGAGTGCGTGAAGGGGAGTAGAGTGAGATGAGAGGGGAGAGGTAGGAGAGTGCGTGAAGGGAAGTAGAGTGAGATGAGAGGGGAGAGGTAGGAGAGTGTGTGGAGGGGAGTAGAGTGAGATGAGAGGGGAGAGGTAGGAGAGTGCGTGAAGGGGAGTAGAGTGAGATAAGAGGGGAGAGGTAGGAGAGTGTGTGGAGGGGAGTAGAGTGAGATGAGAAGGGAGAGGCAGGAGAGTGTGTGGAGGGGAGTAGAGTGAGATGAGAGGGGAGAGGTAGGAGAGTGTGTGGAGGGGGGTAGACTGAGATGAGAGGGGAGAGGTAGGAGAGTGTTTGGAGGGGAGTAGAGTGAGATGAGAGGGGAGAGGTAGGAGAGTGCGTGGAGGGGAGTAGAGTTAGATGAGAGATAGGAGAGTGCGTGGAGGGGAGTAGAGTGAGATGAGAGGGGAGAGGTAGGAGAGTGCGTGGAGGGGGGTAGAGTGAGATGAGAGGGGAGAGGTAGGAGAGTGTTTGGAGAGGAGTAGAGTGAAATGAGAGGGGAGAGGTAGGAGAGTGCGTGGAGGTGGGTAGAGTGAGATGAGAGGGTTGAGGTAGGAGAGTGTGTGGAATAGAGCGAACTGAGAGGTGAAGAGGTAGGAAATAGCGCAAAAGCCTCAGGCACTCCTGTCCCGGATAAGTAAATGGGTCAGGAGAACTCCTGGCCGAGATGTTGAGTAAGAACACCAAGTTAGTGCCTTAGCAAGTTGTAGCACAACTACGTTTGTACAGTCCCGTTAAGTCAATCCACTGCTAAAACGAGGGTCTCCGCACATCGTCGTGCAGGGGTCGTGGGGTGAAGTTATTTGACCATACTTCACCACGCCCGTCAGTCGCCGGTTGGTGAACGCATTGTAAAGATGTGGGGTCAATAGAAGTGCAGTACAACACTTGATTTGACTGCACCGCCCACCCACGTGTAGTGATTATATTCTGCAAACGCTGCTTTTGTTATCGTGCGATGGAATCGTATTTTAATGATTATAATGAATATGTATTTATGTGTTCATAACATAGCTTTTTTTCTTTGGGTTAAATCGCGTATATAATTGTGTCGTTAACCCCGCCACCACCCGACACAGCTAATTTAGTAGGCTGTCATGTAAACAACACGTGCCAATTCGTTACCAGTACAGCACACCGGTTGTGTTTGAGAGCAAATCCACATTTACAATTGTCAATTTAACACGAAGGCTTTCGCAATCAATATCATCCATAACATAGTTTATTTTGAGTAAGATCGCGTAAAAATATAAATGTGTCGTTAACCCCGCCACCACCCGACACAGCCAATTTAGTAGGCTGTCATGTAAACAGAACGTACCAATTCGTTATCAGTACAGCACACCGGTTGTGTTTGGGAGAGCAAATCGACAACATTTACAATATATTTATATATTTTTATCAACAACAACAACAAAGTCACCCGTCCCGTCTCATCACCGTTCCGGAGCCATCACGATCGAGTCGAAAATATCTCCCGCGACGTCTCCGTGATTCTCCATGGATTACAGCCTCCTCCCTCGCCGTCACGCACACACATACACGTGTTTATATTTACGTGTGTGAGTGTGTGTCACCGTCGTAATGTCAATTGTTACAACGGTGCCACACTTTCATATTCTCACTCGCTGATGCCTCGTGCCGACAAAACGTGTCGGCCCCTCCCCCCCATCCCCCCTCGCCCCTCCCCCCCATCCCCCCTCGCCCCTCCCCCCCCCCATCGAGCAACCGCGTTGCGAATTGCCATCTTGGTTAGGGACACAATTGACTGTCGGAGTATTTTTTTGTTTAATTTTGTTTAATTTGTGTCGTCTTTCTCTTTTTTTAACGTAGCAACAATTTAACCGCTGGTTACCCCGTTACGGGTTAACTCGGTTGTAATTGTGTAGAAGGGGAAGTTGAGTTTTTTTTCGGGTCCGTGCGGCGTACAGACGTTTTAATGCGGTTTAAACAAAAATGTCTCTCTGTGTTTCTCCGCTTGTGATGGGACTTTGTAAGGGTGAAGGTTGAGATTAAGGGGGTGACCAATACGGTCTGTAATCAGGTAGGCACTGATAAAGGGGTTGACAGATATGCGAGTTAAATTAAAGTGTGTAAAGAAAACACAGTGTTTACTTTTTTATGTTACCAGATGATGCCGACTGAGCTAAATATGTAGATATTTTTCAGAAGCGAACTGGCCATCGTAAATGTTAGCTCAACGAAGTGGCTTATCCATCATGTGGACATTTATAGCATTGTGACGTTTCGGGCAATGACCCTTCATCATAGCACACAGCACTGTTTTTGACAAATGTGGATTTTTTCACATCATTATTACCACTGCCCGTGCACCATTACCAACGCAAGATCAGTAGCAAATTGTTTAAATGTTGTAGCGTTGTATAGTGATAGGGTACTGCACCACGTCAGGGTTCAATACAAATTATAACGGCGGCATCCCTTAGAAACATGGCCGCCAAGTTGCAGAGCCTCGTTTCGCGGGACGCTACGGAACCCCCGCGGGTTCAAAACTCGCTTTGTGAAATGGATCACAGACAGGGTGTCCCGTGTGTCATTCCCGTTGCACGAGGATTTCCCCCCCCCCTCGCTTCCCCCCCACCCCTCGCCTCCCCCCGTCGCCTCCCCCCCACCCACCCCTCGCCTCCCCCACCCCTCACCGCCTCCCTTTCGCCCCCCTCCTAAACCACCCTTCGCCCCCTCCACCCACCTTTTGCCCCCCCTCACCCACCTTTCGTCCCCCCCACCCACCTTTCGTCCCCCCCCACCCACCTTTCGTCCCCCCCACCAAGTTTTCACCCCCCATCCACCTTTCAACCCACCCTTCGCCCCCCCCACCCTTCGCCCCCTCCCACCTTTCACCCCCCCCCCCATCCACCCTTCGCCCCCCACATACCCTTTGCCCCCCCACCCCTCGCCTACCCCCACCCATCCCTGACCCCCTTCACCACTCGCCCCACCCCCCTGCGCTGTGCGTTTCGTGGGGGTTGTTATTCGACCATCTGACATCTATTCCCACCCCCCTAAGTGGTACTCATTTTATCGAGCTCTCAGGAATGATTGTGAGCTGAATGAACTTCCCATCCAGAATTGAAACTCGCCCGCTCACAATCGCCGCTCTACCGCTGAGAAACCACCTGGCCGGATTGACGGGAGTCCCTGCCCACACTGTTGTCGGTCACGGGGGTTGTTTGACCATACTTCACCACAATATTGTGGGCTGGTGGATCGTGGATTGGCAGATCCATGGATTCGTCGAATCGAACTCCGGTTGCATAGCAGCAACAAAAAATGTAGAATCACTGCCATCGCTCCCCCACCACCCACTTGGCAGGCATTTATGAATTATCTTAACACTTTATATATTTTAAGTAAGGCTTTTTTTTAATAAACCTTACTTAAAAAATATAAAGTGTTAAGATAATTCATAAATGTAGGTATAAAATAATTACTTTATTTTGTGACTTTACCGAAAGAACCAAAGAGTATGGATTCCTGCAATCACGAAAGCTTCAAATCAAGATAAAAATTAATATGCAAAGTGAAAAATATGTTAGGGGTCAATTAATTGGGGGTCACAAGACATCTGCACCACCCTGTATAGTTGTTGCTATGTTTGATGATGATATAGGATAAAATAATTGACAATTTAACATATCCTCAATTAACAACATTAAGTAACTTAATGTATCCTTAATTGTAATTACCGACGACATTATTGCCAAGAGTAAGAAGGCGTTACGTTTGTTGCACGCATTAAAATAACGAATCCATCGTGCGTTCGATTGTCAACAATATTACATAATTTATACGTTTAATATAAGCTTATTGAATATTTTGCCACGTGTTGAACAGAAACTGTAAAAAGAATCAAACATAACGAAACAAATATCGTGCCACGTAATTGGGGGCAGTGCGTTGAACTGGAGTTGTCGCAGCATTGGCGTGGTTACTTACTCATGAGCTGATGAGGTTTGTAATGAGCTAATGAGGTCCGTAATGATCTGGCCAGGTGGGTGATGATCTGGCCAGGTGGGTGATGATCTGGCCAGGTGGGTGATGATCTGGCCAGGTGGGTGATGAGCTGATGAGGCGTGAGTCGACCTCTTCTATAAGTAAGGGTGGTGTGGCCGCACGGAGCTCCGTGTTCTTTGTAGTTTTTCGGTCCCAACTCCGTGGGCTGGCCCTCCGCTCTTGCTCCGTCCACTTGGCGCACGCTCCTACGCCGGTGTGTTGTTGTACCGCGTGTTTGGAGAGTACAATTAGAAATCGGCATCCGCCAAGATCGATCCACTGCTGGATGAAGCCCCCCCCCCCCCCCCATTGGTCCTGCCAATGTATCAATGCACCAAACAATTGGCAAAGGAACCGAGTTATTCGCTCCATCTCCACGGCGTGCAGAGGGACTCTGCTGCCTATGTTTTGTCTGTGCAATCAGTGGCGCAGTGGTCGGTGAACTGCGGTGCACAAACCGAGCAACCTACGTTCAATTCCATGCCGTGGCTCATCTCGGAAATATCGAGGACCCTCTGCTTGGTCAATTCCACCTTAAATTTGTTATTTTGCGGCGTGTGAAACGTCAAGATTTTGATGAAAATCAGACGTGCTTCTGACCACACCACCTCTCCCCTCGTTTCTCCGTCGCGTCGACCTTAATAGGTGCTCGCTAACAGAACCTGTCCCCACAGTCGGCGTGTCTTACGCGTGGACTCTTTGTCGTGTTTTTGTGCGCCCGCAATGGTGTGCCTGCGTCGCAGGTCGCAATGAAAAGGACTTTTCTTCCAGCTTGGCCTGGAATCTGGATCTCTTGTCTCCTGGTCGCAAATGTCACCTCCGTTGGGAGTTTCCCACACCTCGACCAAGGTACGCTGCCGCACTGCCGAGCGCTTTGTCACGCACCCAGTAAACTTGCCAAAGTTTGTGCGCCAAGGTTGGCTCAACATTCCTGGCAATGTGGTTCATTTTAATGATCGGCGGAGTTTGGGGGGGGGGGCATGGGGGAACAAGCCTCCCCCCCCCCCCCCCAAACTGGACACCTTTATAAATGTATTTTCAATAGTTTGCAATTGATGATCATTATTAATTATATGCACCCGCAAATCCCAATGTGAGCGACAAAGCGAACCATCATTTTAGCGGGACCCTTTTTGATGCAGTGAATTGCCTCTGGGGGTTTTAGCCGGGTTCCTGGTGCCTCCTGCTGGGCGCGTTGCGGTATTTGATTTTTCTGCATGAAGCCACTGTGCAAATCTTGCAGCTAAATTCATTGCTTTGTTTTCGTGGAGCTATTGAGGTCTCGCGATCAGGAATTTAAGCCGTGATCTCAGCATTCCATGATAATGAAAGTCCGCTTCATGAAGCAATTTTCTTATATGGCATGTTGCATTGTCACAGAACATTTACTAAAGATCTGACTAAAGTTTAATGCCTCGAAAGTACATGGTGACACGTTGGCCCAAATTGTTGATCCAGGTGAACATTCAAGTAGTCGTCGTTATTATTTAAGTTATACGTGTGCCGCTTTTTCGGTAATTGCACTCGACTACAGCATCAAAAGTGACATACTGTGTAAGTTGCAGATATTCACGTATTGCGCAATTAACCCATCCACAGCTAACATCAGTGGTGAGTGAGTGATTGTTTCTTAATCGGTCCTGGGATGCTTCTAAACGAACGCGCACTGACCGGCGAAGTATTATTCAACACCACTCCAATGACCACTGGCATGGGAAGCCCTTCATCCAGCAGTGGATTGACAAAGGGCTGTAAATTATTATTTTTCAAATTATAATTACACGGAGCCTTGTCAGCATTGTGGAAACATCAGTCTCCATCGTAAATTGACATAACTGTTGCTACTATTATCCTTCACCAATTCGTGGTTTCTTTGAATCCAGAATAATTTTGAAAGCGTTTCTACATTCTATTAAGACCTAATGTGCACGTGTTAAATGTGCAATGGTGTATGCACAAATTCGGCAACCCGAAATGAATTCCTGGCCATGGCTAACGTCGGCGAAGAAATGTATCTGACCCTTATGCTGCGCCTCCCGAATGTTGATCCTTTCTCAAATGACCACCTGGTATGGGGTGTCTACATCAACACTTGTGAGACACAGGCGGCTTGGGTGTTGTGCTGGTCATGCCTTACCCCTTTGTGTGCCGTGTGAATATTAACAGGTGCTCGCTAAAAGCACGTGCCCCACCAATCTGTACGAGCATAGGAGGGATCTCATTCCTTGTTGCACTCCACAGATGATGAAGGCGTTTTCGGTGACCAACGGCCACTTGGACGGAGTGAAGAGATAGGTGCGTGTTGTGAAGATGAATGTGGTGTCTAATGCGTGTTTTCGGTGTGAAACTACCTACATTTTTATGATGCTGTTGGTGAATGTGTTGGATTGTTGAGAGCAACTGTGGTGATGGTGTGGTGATCAGATGATGATGTAGTTATGGCCAGGACTTAATTTCAACCGGGTCTGTGGGTCATCACCCAGAAAATGCCTCTGCACCTGGCACACCACATCCAGTACATATCTTGCCAAGGCTGTTGCTAATAGGGGGGCCTACGCCAGTCTGCCGGCAATCTAGAAAATACTTGAGAATTGCAGCCCTGGTTATAGCCGGACTGTGAATTATGGATGGACTGGCGAGACGATGCCATGCATTAATGGGGGTGAATTTTGCTTTTTAGGTTTTTACAGTTGTGCTCCTGTTGCTGTTACGGTGTTTTCTGTTTATTTACGGCGTGTTTGGCATTGTCCGATGATTCGCTCCATGTGCAGGGAGCTTCAGAAACTGAATAACATTTGAGGAATGACAGTGACATTCACTGAACGATATTAGGTTCCTAAAAAAGCTCCCAGCATGTGGGGGCGAAACATCTGACATTGTTGAACAACATTCGGTTCGACCTGAAAACGCTGCGGAAAGCTGTGGGTGGACTTTGTTTTACCGGCCCGAAATTCACCATCCTGCGGTATCCTCCGCCCCTCTGTCGACTTGGCAGGTGTCGCCGAGCTTGCGGAGAGCGCAGATGCGCTGGGTCCGATTGAAACCGTGAAGAACAGAACCAAGACTCTTCCCTCCCGGCTTGGAGAAGCACCCCCAGGAATTCTTTCCACAAGCCCCCAGCAATCGCCTCGGCACACCGTCACTCAGCCATCGACGCATCCAGTCCCAGAGTCTTCAGCTTATCCAATAGTCCTAAACAATTCCACAAACTCAATCCCACATTCTTCCAGTATTCCAATCCCACAGTCCCCTTCGCATGCAGTCTCACAATTTTCCACTGATCCAGACCCACAGTCTTCCACAAATCCAATAGTGCTTGCTTCCACGAGCTCCGCACCAAGGTCTTTCACGCATGCAGTCTCACAATTTTCCACTGATCCAGACCCACAGTCTTCCACAAATCCAATAGTGCTTGCTTCCACGAGCTCCGCACCAAGGTCTTTCACGAACTCAGAACCACATTCTACTTTTCCAATCCCAGAATCTTCCTCCACCGGCTCTCTCCCAGAATCTTCCTCCACCGGCTCCGTCCCAGAGTCTTCCACCAGCTCTGTCCCAGAATCTTCCTCCACCGGCTCTGTCTCAGAATCTTCCATTAGCTCCGTCCCAGAGTCTTCCACCAGCTCCGTCCCAGAGTCTTCCATTAGCTCCGTCCCAGAGTCTTCCATTAGCTCCGTCCCAGAGTCTTCCATTAGCTCTGTCCCAGAATCTTCCTCCACCAGCTCTGTCCCAGAGTCTTCCATTAGCTCCGTCCCAGAGTCTTCCATTAGCTCTGTCCCAGAATCTTCCTCCACCGGCTCTGTCCCAGAGTCTTCCACCAGCTCTGTCCCAGAATCTTCCTCCACCGGCTCCGTCCCAGAGTCTTCCACTGGCTCTGTCTCAGAATCTTCCTCCACCAGCTCTGTCCCAGAGTCTTCCACTGGCTCTGTCCCAGAATCTTCCTCCACCGGCTCCGTCCCAGAGTCTTCCATTAGCTCCGTCCCAGAGTCTTCCTCCACCGGCTCCGTCCCAGAATCTTCCTCCACCAGCTCCGTCCCAGAGTCTTCCATTAGCTCCGTCCCAGACTCTTCTTCCACCGGCTCCGTCCCAGAATCTTCCTCCACCAGCTCCGTCCCAGAGTCTTCCACCAGCTCTGTCTCAGAATCTTCTTCCACCAGCTCTGTCCCAGAGTCTCCCATTAGCTCCGTCCCAGAGTCTTCCATTAGTTCCGCCCCAGAGTCTTCTATTAGCTCTGTCCCAGAATCTTCCTCCACCGGCTCCGTCCCAGAGTCTTCCTCCACCGACTCGGTCCCAGGGTGTTCCACGAACTCAACCTCAGAAGTTTCAACAAATCCCACATTGCCCCCTTCCACTCCCTCTGCTATTGGCACAAACTCCTCTCGCCACCAGCCACAGTACATGTTTAACGGCCACTCGATCCTGCGCGAGAGAACTCGGCGATACATCGACTACGGTAAGCTGGTAACGTGACCGGTCTCGCCGCCTATATACGTGTAAGGCCCATTTGTCGATCCACTGCTGGATGAGGGCCCTCCCCATGCCGTGCAGGTCGTGGAGATCATAGTTTGATCGTAGCTTCACCACGCCGGTCGGTGCGGGTCAATGAAGCGGGGGGGGGGGGGGGAAATATGCGTAATTCCGGGATTCAAGCTCTGGTGGTGGACTCATTTAAATCTGTAATGCCTTTTAATTTTCCATGGCAAAAATTATAAGCTTGTATGAGTAAAATGGTGAAGTAAAGTTTGATTTCGCCAAAGAACGTCACACTTTCGTCAAAACACTGCCTTAAAAGGGGAAAAAGTATGTCATGGGTGTGACAATTCAGGACAATGCCCCTTGGCGCTGAGGCCAGTAATCTGACCTGTGGCCTCTTTGGCCTCTCTGTGCTATGATAAAGGGCCATTGCCATAAACGTCGCCCAGTGAGTTTTTAATTTTAATTTATGCTTGTGCACTGTCAAGGGCAGTATCGCCAAATAATGTCTTGCGTCACCAAGCGATGGTGGGGGGGGGGGAAACATCAGTTAAGATGACATGAAACGTGGTCTTAATCGCACGTGTCCTGGGTTAAGTCATACACCTTTGACTTAAGAATCGCACATGTAAACAAAGTGTCACTCGCACATGATGATGATGATGATAATGACCAAGTTCCAGACCACGACTTTAAGCTCCACACGGGAGGAGAGACCCCCAGAGGCCACGCAGGTAAAAAGCCAAGTGTGGGAAATTTACGGCCTAGGCCAGGAGGCGATTTTACGCAAAGGAGCGGTGAGAGTCTCTGGAATCGGCTGCCCACACCCGTGGTGGTGAAAGCCGTATTCACTGGGAGGTTTTCACGAACCCATTCTGAGATTCTGGAATCGATCTGCCTGCTACGAACAACAGTCGGTCAGATTTGTGGAATGCCCCCCCCCCCGTCTCGTTTGTAATCATTCGTTATGTTCTTGTGTTCTCAAGTCTGAATGACAACAAACCGCAATTCCTTGTGAAGCCCCACAGTACTGCTCTCCACGTTTACCAATTTACCTATGAATCGTTACATGCTGCGTGTACCTGATGGCCAAGCACTTTTTTCCATCGCTCAAATGGATTGCACATGCGAGCTCAAGTTCATTCAAACTTGGAAACAATTGTAGTTTATTCAGCCTTTGTTTTTTTTGGGGGGGGGTTGACCTTTCGCTTTGTGCATTTGCAGGAATTTTGGATTTCGAAGTGCCAGGTAAGCACGCGTTTCTTTGCGAACAACTTAAACCTCAACCGCACATCATCTGGCCTCCATATCTCAATCGTATGTTCTCGGATGGGTGTCGTAATGCGAACGCTTGTGGCCGACTGCCTATCGGTGAACGAATGGAGCCATTCTGGCGAATTGCCCGATGATGCTGGATGTAATTACCAGCGAAACGTCGTACTCAAAAAAGCTGTAAATGGTATGGATTCACTCTTCAACACACCGTTGGGCTAAAGCGGTGAACTATTTGTCTTTTGTCAACGTGACACTTTTTTTTCTGATTGGCCGTGTCGCGTGGTGGAGGGTTACGACACATTTATAAATAATGCGATTTAACCCAAAAACTTTTATTATATTATGAATGGAGCGGGCTTCGTCTTTGCTCTAGCAAGACATCCGAGTGAATACTTTGTCTTGTAACACCGATTGCGCAATCACAATAAAATTGGTTAAAAGGACGACGGCAAGAATCTTAAAACGGATGCTTTCTTTGGTGGTTTGCGGTGGGTGCCGCACCAAGCAGCCAAGTGTGGCAGCCGCCCGTTCGAAGAGTTCGCAGGCATCGGACCCCTCCCGTCCGCCCCCGTCAACTTTGTCAGCCGCATCGTTGGGGGACGAAACTCTGAGCCTGGAGGGCAGCCCTGGCAGGTGAGGTGATGATCGGCTCCGTATTCCTCGCGTCGAACCAGCTGTTGGATGGACCTTGGTTTGTGGGGGGTAGGATATCGCTTGGCTTGCTTTCCCAGTTCTCACTGTGGCGGGTACTCGATTCCTGCAATTGCCCGGTGGTGCGAGCAAAGACGCTTCGCAGAAAGTGGAACATGCGCAATCTCGGGTGCGAAAGATATGTTTGTGTAGTGACGCAGATCGGAGACGGTAATAACTGGAGGCGCTTTTATCAAACAAGCACCGTCGGGATAATACGCACCCTACGTGCGTGCACATTATTATTATGAAGGCCGTTTATTGTCGGCAGCACTACTTAGAACAGTTGGTAGGCTGTCTGACTAACAGCGCCCCGGGATGGTGAAGATGGTGACGACGACGACGACGTGATGGTGACGACGAGATGGTGACGACGATGGACTTGAACAGCACAACGGGGATCCCGCTTCCAGCACCAGCCACGAGGTCCCGCTCGGGGTGTGGGGGGGGGCCTCTTACACTCCCAGCGTGACCTTGCTCCGCCTTGGCCACACCCCCTTTCTAGAACCTACCAGCGGGTTCCCAGGGCTTCCCGATGGGCCCCTTCTGTGACCTTTCCCCTTTAGATGTCCCCCTCTCGTATTGATCGTGGCCTGCTGGCGTGAGTACTGCCGTACACCGCAGTTACCCTTTGCCGCCAGCACCCAGCGCTATACCACTACCTGTGTAAAGTTTGGTGAGATTTAAACCACTTCATAGGTCGGGGGGGAGGGGGGCAGTCGCGAGAAGAGGAAGGTTTTGCGCCTTGACCTGAACAGACGCCGCAGGGTTTGGCAGGATAGATGGTCTGGGGGGAGTAAATTCCAGTTTGTGAGAAATATTGAGCACTTACCGAAATAACCAAAGAGTGGATTCCTGCAGTCACGAAAGCTTCAAATAAAGATTGAGCAAAGGTTTATTGATTTTTGCCATAAAGTCGATTGGTCCAGCAAGCAAGGCGCTCTGTTGAACGTTCACACCGTACAGAGCCAACCGTGCTAATCGGAGGTGCTAGGTTGAGACGACAAACTAAAACACAACTTCTAGATTTGAAGTTTTCGTGACTGCAAGGATCCATACTCTGGTTCTTTTGGTAAAGTTACGTAGATGAAAAATACAAATAATAATAAAAAATAATCAAATGAAAATAACTAAATTAAATCACGACGTTTCGGAGGCAACACACGCTTCCCTCATCAGGTGGAACAGCCACAGCAAAATTACTGATTCGAAACGTCGTTATTTAATTTAGTTATTTTCAGTTTATTAATATTTTTTCATCTACGTGACTTTACCAAAAGAACCAAAGAGTATGAACACAACTTGGTGTGGCAATGAAAACTGTTTAGCCAATGCATTTTTTGAAAATTTTTGAACAATTGGGCAAAACAGAACCGTACAGTACACGACTCTTTTTAAGGTCTACCTTGTGCTGTGTCGCGTGTAACCCAGGTCTCCCTAAAGCGTGGGTCGGCGCACTTCTGTGGAGGGACCATTATCGACACGAGATGGGTGCTCACAGCGGCGCACTGCATTCCTCCCAGGGACAGGTACTCCCCGACCGATCACTTCCAGCTCGTCAAGCCATTGGGGGAAAAAGGCCCTCTATACGTCCATCCCTTGCCATTTTTGGGGGTTGGTTGACCACGCTTCACCTCACTTCACCACGCTTCACCACACTTCACCACATGGCCATCTTGGCAGTGACTTTTTGGCTTACCAGACGGGGTCACTGCGTTGCGTGATTTCAGGTGCACTTGCGGCCGTTTGGAACACTTTTCCATCCGATATTCGGAAGCCCACTGGAGCTATGCACTTTTAAGTCTAGATTAACAACTTTCTGTAGAACTGCTTTTTATCACCGGGTGTAGAGTGCGATGCGTTAACCGCTGCGCCGTTACTCCCACACTTGAACAGTAATGTTCATCGGCCATGATCGATCCACTGCTGGATGAATGAACGAACGCCTTCCCGATCCATTACCGCCATATCTCGTGGTCTGACGATGTAGCAGCCAGTCTGAGTACCTACACACGCGCCGATTTCATCTCCCCAGCTCTGTCGTAGACTTGGCCTACTTTAACACGCTGGCCGGATGTCTGGGAAGAGGTGGAGTTACCCACACTTTACCCCACCAAATGTGGCCTTGCGATCGACTAACCGTGGTTTTAACACAATTACAATCTTTCCTGTGCCACGTTGGCCTGACCGCCTTGCTCACTCACACACCCGTTCGCTTGTTCGGTGGACAGGAACTTCGAGAAGACGCTGAGCGTGGTGGTGGGTGAGTACGACATGGAGACGAGCGACGACGAGGAGCAGACGCTGCGAGTCTCCCGAGTGATCGTCCACCCAAAGTTCCGGCCGCTCAACCCGGTCAACAACGACGTGGCTCTGCTGGAGCTGACCAAGGACATTGTGTACGGTGAGGGAGAAACCGCCTCTTGGTTGTGAATTGTCATCCACGTGCACAAAACAATCCCTTTCGTTAACTTTCATTCATTTTACAGGTACACGTCGTGAACACCAAAAGTCGGCGTGTGGTTGCTTTGCTTAATTTGTGTGTGCGCGTGTCTTTTTGGGGAGTGGTGGCGCAGTGGTTTCCGCGCCACGCTACTAACCCGCCGACCAGAGTTCGATTCCCGCTCAAGGCCAATACCGGTGATGCGTTGATGGATAATTTGAACCAGTGCTGGGCCCTCTCTCCTAAGGCCGAATCGGCCTTAAGTAAATACCCGGTGCGGTGTGTAAAAATATCAGCACTAGGGAGACCAAGGTGGCCGAGCGTGGTGCTGGCCACCACCCACCCCCTTCGTGTGCCTTGCTGGCCTTCGTAGGTGTGCTACCCATTGAACAGCACTTGCCCCAACAGTCGGTTAAAAGGCTCTTATGGGATTTTGTTGTCTTTGTTTTAGGGGTGATGGTGCAACCGGCGTGCCTCCCGTACCAGGACGAAGAGTTCCTCGCGGGCACGCTGTGCACCGTGAGCGGCTGGGGGAAGTTGCAAGAGGGTGAGGCCTAGGCTTTGGGGGGGGGGGGGCGAGAGAGAGGAGGGCTGCTGGAGTGGCTCAGAAGTCGGGGCGTTGAGCTTGATAGCGTTGAGAATCCCCTGGGTTCAAATCCAGTATTCGGCCACTGGCCTGTGCTTCTCGAGGTGTCGCAAGTTCATGACCTCAGCCCGGTCGCCGATGGCACGTGTTATGACCAGCCATAAGAAGGGGGATTCCTGCAGTCACGAAAGCTTCAAATCAAGACTTAAGAAGGGGGGTAATGTTGCAATGAGTTTGCACGTGCTAAGTCATTGGCAGGACAACTTTGAAATGTGGCAAATGTTGGCCATGAAGCTAGCCAGACTGCGTGTAACATTTCATGGTTAATATAATTTGCCATATTAACCTGGGGGTGGGAGGGGACCCGAACCGGGAACGTCTACAACAAGCGGGGAACTCTTTACCGTTTGGCCACATCACCGCCCATTCCCCATGTCATTGTGTGAGGAGTGGTGGTGTAGCGGTTAGCGCGCTGCTCTACAAACCCGGCCACCCGAGTTCAATTCCCGCTCACTACCGACACCAGTGACGATTATCTGAACCACTCATGTGCCTCCCCTAGGTCGACTCGGCCTTAACCGATTACCTGGTACAGTATCTGTAATCGTGTGCACTGGAAAGACAAAGGCGGCCACGGGTGGCCCTGTCTGCCCAGCACCCCCCCCTCCCCCATGCTCCTCGTGTGCCGTGGCGACCTTCATAGGTGCTCGCGAACAGCACTTTCCCCAACTAGTCAGTTAAAGGCTTTACGGTGTGCGGGTGTGAGGGGGTTTATCTTTTGCCTTTTCCCCTCCAGAGGGAGAGATGCCCAGCATACGGCAGGAAGTGTCGCTGCCCTTGCTCGACCCGGAGCTGTGTGCACGCGTGCTCGCAGCCATGCACCTGCCCGCGATGGACCGCACCATGCTGTGCGCCGGCTTCCCCAACGGGGGCCGGGATGCCTGTCAGGTGGGAGGGGCGATGGGGGAGGGGCGGTGGGGGGGGGGGGAGTGCGAGGGGGAGGGGCGGTGGGGGAGGGGGGACGGGGGGAGCCAAGGGCAGTGGGAGGAGAATATTGAATCATATTCTTTCGGTAAAGCCACGTAGATAGAAAAAGTAAATTAATAAAAAATAATATCACGACGTTTCGATCACAACACAAGTAATCGTCATCAGATGAGAGCTGCTGAGGTAGGGAAAAAATATGATACTATTATTATTTTTTTTTATTATATTTTTGCTATCTACGTGGCTTTACCGAAAGACCCAAAGAATACTAATTCCTGCAGTCACGAAAGCTTTAAGTCAAGATTTAATATTGAACCAGTGGCGTAGCGTGGGTGGCATGGGCCCTGGTACCCATTACACCTTTATTATTTAGAAACATCCATCCATCTATAGGGTGTTTATTTATTTATTAGTTTGCTGCTTTGAATGTCCACGTGATGGGCCGCTTCGTTGAGCTCTCATTTGTGGCTGGGTCGCTTCTGAAAACCAAACTAATAGCTCGGTGGGGATTACCTGGCAAGATACAAAAATAATTTGGTTTTATTTGTCTATATTTTTTAGTGATTTGTTTACCTTTCCGATACTTTACACTCCTCTCATGCCTTCGTACTGATGTAACGTTTTTACTCGCCCTTATGGACATCGGTGAAAAAGAGCTTTATAGCTCATCGGATTCTTCCAGTATAAAATTAATATTCTGATTCTGAGGTCTCCTACCCCCCCCCCTCTGCCATCCTCTTTGTAGCCCGGTGCCTGGGCTCTTACATCTGTCCATGTGTCCATCTGTCAGTAGCGTGGGGTTCACAAGAACGCTTGTATTGATGAGCCCAATAAACTAAATTTATAATTGTGTTGCTAGGGGGGAAAACGGCCTTATCAAAGGGTAGCTCACAATAGGAAGGCACAATCATTACAATAATTGTATTTGCAAATGTGCAAACCGTACTGCTCAAATATTTCTGCCGACAAAGCTTTGTGGGGGAGCATTCCAGAATCCATGCGTATGCACGGTTTTTCCTAATTTTTACAACATTAATGGCTTTGAAGCGGCCAATTTAGAGGTTAGGATGTCAGCGTGTGTGGTTGACCAGCGGTGGTGTAGCGATTAGCCCGCTGCACTACGAACCCGGCGACCAGAGTTCGATTCCCGCTCACGGTCAATACCCAGTGACGATTGTCTGAACCGGTCCTGGGCCTCTCCTAGGTCGACTCGGCCTCAAAATAAGTTTACTTGTGGTTGTTGTTGGTTGTTTGACTTGCATTCCACTGGGATTTTTGCACACAGCGTTGGTGTACGGTGATTTTTTTTCTGCAATATTTTGCTGTCTTTTCTTGGATTTTCTGTTTGCACTTAGTCACATATTCACTTTACGATGTTTTTTGTTCATGTTTTTGTTTTTTGTTTGTTGCGGTTGCACCCGATTCAAGAGCCTGAATGGCGCACAGGGCTATACCTAATAAATGAACTTGAACTAGGGAGACGAGGTGGTCGGGCGTGGTGCTGGCCACCCACGTGCACCGTGGTGGGTGGCCTTCGTAGATACTGCTCGATTAACAGCACTCGCCCCAATAGTCTGCTAAGGGCTACACGGGGGATCTTTGTCTTTGTGGTGGGGATCCAGGGGGACTCCGGGGGCCCCTTGGTGTGCCAGCGCCCGAGTGGCGCGTGGAGCCTGCATGGCGTGGTCTCGTGGGGGGTCGGGTGCGCTCGGGGCTGGGCCGGGGGTGCGGGGGGTGCGGGGGGGGGCCCGGGCGGCCGTGACGCCACACGGCAGGGCACCCCGGGCATCTTCGCTCGGGTCGCCAACTTCCTGCCATGGATCCAGCAGCACATGGATGGCGGTGGGTGGGATCGCGGTGTGACGGAGGGGGGGGGTCGTGGCGGACACATGGGGGGGGGGGGGCGTGGTGGGAGATGTTCTCAGGGTGGCTCTCGGGCGAAAATGTGTTTTGGCATAATCGCAAATAGTTATTTTTAGCATTGGTTTGTCTTTTTATTCGTGATTTGTTTTAAATTTAACACAAACAATTGAGCGTTTGTCCCCCCCCCCCCCCACCCCTGGAAGTTGGTTTTCTGTCAAATCCTTTCTTTAATCTTTTAACAAAAGGCCAAATACAACGCTAATGACTGCAGGCTGGGAGAGTGCAGACGCCTTGCGAGTGACGATCCCAGGGGCCAGGTGCCCTGGGAGTAGGGGACCCTACTTAGGTAGCGGGCAATGATCGGGAGCCTGGTGTGTTTAAGGGAGGGGAGGATGAGCTGTCAAATATTTTCTAAAAACCTAAATATTCGCCCTTCCTGCAGCCAATACCGTCCTGTAGATGCAACCTTCTCTGCACAGTATACACCACACCCGTTTGTCTCGTTGCACATCTGCTCCATTGTGCCCACAAAACAGTTGTGTAACGGAGTTAATCGTGCTCTTGTGTCGCAGGTAGCAGAGGAAGAAGTAATCTCGGTGAGTGCTTTCGAGCGAATTCTTCGACGATAAAAGCGTACGAGGGCGACGGAAGTTTTAATCGGATGGCCATCCACGGGGGGAAAAGTACTGAACTGTGTGCACTGTCGCCTGATATTGGTGTGCCGCCTTTCACAAAGTCGACACCTTGCCAATTTGACAGCAGCATGGTTAATTGATGGGCGGGCCAGTATATGTGATCCACGAAGGGTCTTTGAGTGGCCTGCCAATGTATGGCCTGCCAGGAGGAGATGGAGAGATATCATGCCTTGCAAGGGTCTACGTCTGTGCTCGTGGTACACGTGGCCTGCTGCACCGGGCGCTGAAACGACCTGCCACACGTGCACATACATGTATGTTGAACATCTTTCACATTGATGTAGCCGCCCATGCTAATCAGCGATGTGGGCACATTGTAAAATGTGGCCTGCTGAAAAATGTCGTCTAAGAACTCTGGCAGTGTCCCACTCATCTGTATTAATGCCAGGCTTCGCAGTTTAACCATTTGGAAATATTATGGGCTTTTCATTAATTATTGCTCTGTTTTTATTCCCCCCCCCCTTTTGCTCTCGACTCCAGGGAACTGCAACGCGACCGGCGTGGTCCTGACGGGCGAGTCGGGAACCCTCGCCTACCCTGTCCCGGACAACACTACCTACCCTGACAACACGTGAGCTTTTGGCTCGGGGGTCTGGTCCCGTGTTATTGTTGGTTTGTGGTGGGTAGCCGCGAGCGTTCGACATCTTCACTTGGCCTCAAAGTGCACATACCCTGGCACAAGCGCTGTGGCGACATCACCGCCGCTTAGTGGCGAATGGCGGTTGTTGCTGCTGCTGCGGCGTGCGTGTGCGCCTGCAGGTTCTGCGTGTGGACGGTGCAGGTGCCGGCAGGCAAGTCGATCGTGCTCACGTTCACGCGGTTTGACCTGGAGCCGCACGTCAGCTGCGAGCTCGACCACCTGGCCGTGTACACGGACATCGACGTCTACTCGGGTACCCCCACCCCCTTCTCCCCCCCGCCTCTGCCGCACTCACACGCTCGGCCTGCGGCAGTTGTCGACCGCACGCTCGTCAAACCGCGTGGCGCTGCGAAATTCCCTCGTCGATGACTGCCTGTGCTCGGCAAATGCTCGGGAGTGTACTAGATGCTGTTATGAATGTCCACGCGATGAGCCGCTTAGTCGAGCGATCATTTGTGAGCAAGGTTGCTTCTGAAAAATAAGTTAAATCCTTGATGGGCTTTACCTGGAAAGATGCAAGCATTGTTTAGTTTGATTTATATTTTAAGTGATTTGACTCTCTTTCCTATTCTTTGCACTCCTATCGTTATAGCTCATTGGGGGATTCCTCCAGTATAAATAAATATTCCGATTCTGGATGTTGGTGGTGGTGATCCGCGTGTGTGTGTTTGTGATCGATGGGGAGCGGTAGTGTAGCGGTTATCCCACTGCGCTATGAACCTGGCGACCCGGGTTCAATTCCCGCTCACGGCTAACATCAGTGACGATTATCTGAACCGGTCCCGGGCCTCCCCGAGGTCGACTCGGCCTCAAATGAATACCTGGTGTGGTGTGTAAACATTGCCACTAGGGAGACAAAGGCGGTCGGGCGTGGTGCTCGCCACCCACCCACTCGTGTACCGTCCCAGCCTTCATAGGTGCTCGCTAACAGCACTTGCCCCTACAGTCTGTTAAGGCTATATGGGGGATCTTTGCCTTGTGTGTGTGCGCATTCGCAGGCCGCTTCTGTGGCACGTCGCTGCCAGTGCCCATCGTGATCCACTCCAACCAGACGACCCTCAAGTTCGTCTCGGACAAGAGCACGGGCGGGAGAGGCTTCGCTCTGCACTTCGCAGCCGTCGACCCGAGTTCCCTGCCGTGTGAGCGCGAGGGGGGCAGGGGGGCAGGGGGGCAGGGGGCAGGGCAGCAGACGGGGCATGGCTGTGTGGGGGGGGGGGGGGGCAGTGATGGGCCAAGTCAAAATCTGAATATTTATACTGGACGAATCCGATGAGCTGTCAAGCTCTTTCACAGACGGCGAATTGGGGGCGGGTTAGAACGTTACAAGGGCAAACAATACTAAAGCATGGTAGTAGTGTAAAATACAAGTTGGTTTGCATTTGAATCCTCTTAAGAGTGGCTCTTTCATAGCCCGTATGTAAGAAGTGGTCGGAAAACCACGGCCAATGTTGGGAACGGTTCTTAGAATTTCCACGTGAAATCGCTGGACATGTGCAGACTCGTGGGGGTTATTTGACCATACTTCACGCTGGTCGGTGCGAGTTGGAGAAGGTGATGGGGGGGGGCATAGAAGTACAGTACAGCAGTTGATTTGTCTGTGTACCCTAGTGATGCCCACCACAACGCCCCATCCTCTAACACGCTTGTTGAATGCACGTCGGCCACCCATCGTCCTCGCTCTATCCAGGCTCAACCCTGCTTAACATCTGACATCTGCTCAGATCGGCTGTGTTCCCAGTGATTCGGTCATGAGCACGCCCGAGGGAGAGGCCCTTCGCTGCAGGCGCTCGGTGGATTGTTGCGTTGTTGTTGCATTGCCCAGACCGTGAGATGATTCTCGGCTATGGGGGGGGGGGGCTTCATCCAACGGTGGATAGATCGTGACTGACGATGATGCTCGTCCTTGGCGTAAGTTTACATTGGCTAGGAGTGTGGTGTGTGTGTGTGTGACAGTGGGGGAGCGACAGTGCCAAGCCGTTGGCACGCTGCGCTACGAACCCGGGGGGGGGGGGGGAGAGACCCGAGTTCGATTCACGCTCGTGGGCCAACACCAGCAACGATTAATCTGAACCGGTCCTGGGCCCTCCCCTAGGTCGACTCGGCCTCAATTTGCATACCCGGTTGCGGTGTGTAAACATTGCCGCTGAGGGGGGCGGCCGGGCGTGGTGACTGTCCAACCCGGGGCCCCCTTGTGATCCGGTGCGGGCCTTCATAGGTGCTCGCCTATAACGGCAGTCTGTTAAAGGGCTATACGGGGTTGAGGTGTGTGTGTGGGGGGGGGATTCTTTGTCTCTATCTTTGTGCGCCGGTGCTATCCCTCGGTGTCCCGGCGCGCTGCGAGAGAAGTCTCCGGCTGCGGCAGCCTCGCCGTGCTGCGGCGCGAGGGGGAGCTGCAGTCCCTGAACTACCCCCGCGGCGGACGCCCGGGGGGGGTCACCTGCCGCTGGCTGCTCCACGCCCCTCGTGGGAAGCGCCTCCAGGTGCGCGACTGCAGTTCGGGAGGGGGGGGGGGGGGAGTGTTTTTGTGTTAGGGGTCGTCCATAAATGACGTCACGCACCTAGGGGGTGGGGAGGTCAGACATTTGTAACGAGGGGGGGGGGGGGTTGAGAAATGTGACGTCACGTCAAAATGCGCAACTTTAAATAAATATAGACAACACGTTCTACTTAATTAAATAGACTTTTTCATGTTTTCTCCTACAACATCAGAGTGCAGCGGCACATTAAATGCGCACTACAAGGGCAAGTTTTAAACGATTTGAAGCACGTTTTATTTTTGTGGGGAGGGGGACGTCATTTTTGAGGGGGGGTCTGACTTAATGACTCCGTGTGACGAGGGGGGGGGAGGTAAAAAATCGTCCAAAATCGCGTGACGTCATTTATGGACGGCCCCTTACTACACCAACGGGCACATTTTATATATGTTGCTATATTTACGCGATCTAACTAACCCCCCCCCCAAAAAAAAACCTTTGGATATTGGTCGCAGAAGCCTTGCTATGTATTTAAACTAACAAAATAAATTATTTAGACTGGAGGAATCCGATGAGTTGTGAAGCCTTTTCACAGATGTCTGGTAAGGGAGGTGCACCGGTTGATATCGTTATAACAACAACCCATTACAAACAGACAATATGAGTTCAAAGTATAGAAAAGGTCAACAAATTGCTTAAATATACAAATAAAACGAAACAACTTTTTTTACCACCGAGCTGCCTTTATAGTTATATCAGAAGCGACCTGCCCCACAGTGATGGCTCGATGAAAGTGGCTTATTGTGTAGATACTTATATAGCAGCCAAAATACTGTGAATCTATGTTGATTCTAAAATATTGAAGGGGGGGGAAATAGGAGGTCCCGGAGGAAAAATACACCCCCACTAGGGGGAAAATACCTGCACACTCCAAATATACAGCAGGCGCTAAAAGTCGGGGTCGAACCCACGACCTCCTGTACACCCAGCGAGGTAGTTGACACTGGCGCCTTGTGTGCCTCCCCAGCAAGGAGGGAGATATCTGGGTTCGATTCCCGACTCGGGCACCTTGTGTGGAACTTGTAAGTTCTTTCCCTCTTCTGCATGAGGTTTCCTCCAGGTTCTCTGGTTGCCTCTCCTAGCTTAACAAAACAACCGGTGTAATCGGTATTTGCCAAGACATCCAAATGTTGAAAAATTACCGCAAAATCACTCCTTTGAGATTGCACACAGCAGCAAGATTGACCCCCCCCCCCCCCCCCAGCTGCCAAACACGTGGCAGGGACCCTTTCGAAGAGGGGAGGAGACTCATCGAGAATAGAAGAAAAGCTTTGCATGGTTTTGGGCTCCTACTTAGTTGCCAGTTGTACGTGCAGAGCATGGCTCAATCTTGGTCGGGGGGGGGGGGGTGTGCGGTTGGATGGACACAATGGCACGTGAACGATAACTAAATCCACCGTCCCTAACAAACCCACCGTCCTCCACAGCTTCGCTTCACGGACTTTGAGCTGGGCTCGAGCCCGAACTGCACGTACGACTACGTCGCTGTCTACGGCGACGTGGAACGCACGCTTCAACTCGGTGAGTTTGTGTGTGTGTGGGGCGCGTGCGTGCATACGTGTGCGTGCATACGTATCCACGCACGTGCGTCTTTTTGGAGGGGGGTGGGGGCAGCAGGATGTGGGTGGAAGCGACACTGTGGCTTCTTCTGGGTAACGTGTTCGGTACGGAAAGGGCAGAGTTTCTCTCTTGCGAGCTGTGAAGCGGAGGCTGGGGGGGTGGGAATCCAGGACACGGCAGGCTCGCTTGACACACGGAGGGGAGGGCATGACGATTTGGCTTCTCGGCTCGGGTTTAAAATTCGCGTTTTTGATGCCGTTGCACGCAGAATTACATTTATGAAGTAAGCTCAATAGCAGGCAACAACATAGTTGACCTGCGTGTGTTTTCTTTGTGCTCGGAGTCTGGCTTCGAGATGTTTACATGGCTGGTAACCAGTTTTGAGGGGGGGCTGTGCCCTTGCAGTATCAGCGTTCGCCACCCACAGCCAAATGCTCGTCAGCTCTTGTACCTCCATGCCTCCGTCAGCTCCTCCTGTTCTCATGTTTTCTACTGCCTGTGTGCAGTGCCAGATTGAGCTAGTGCGGGGCCTGTCGCATATATATATTTTTTAAAACACAAATATTTAAACACTTTTTTTACTTGTATAGTAAAGTAATTGTGTGTTTTCATTTGCTATACAGACAAATAATTAATATGACAAATCTCTAATCTTAAACACCTAGTCGTTCATCAGAGTTGAAGGCAGTATAGTACTATAGTCATAGAGCAAGTGCAGAATCACTGTTCCCCCCCCCACCCCTCCCCTTGTGTTCCCCTTGCACTTCGCAGCCAAACTGTGTGGGGCGGGGCTCCCGCCGCCCGTGTTGAGCCCCGGGGAGACGATGAGCGTGGTGTTCGCGTCCGACCACGAGAGCTCCCTCCGAGGCTTCAAGGCCACATTCTTGTTCCTCGCGCCAGGTGCGTCAGGCGGCCCCCCCCCCTGCCGCTTGCCCCCCCCTGCCGCCCCCCTGTTTCTCACCACGTCACTCCTGATGGCAATTTCTGTCAGGGCCCCGTGGTGTTGAGCGGAGTCTACAACTTTTTTTTTTTTACGCTCAGTGAAAACAAGAAGATGCTCGGTGTATTCGGCACTTTGCTTCGTTCATCATTTCATATTTTTTTTTATTTAAAATTTTAAAACTTGCCTTTATGTAACCCCCCCCCCCCCGCTCGCTCGCTCGCTCTCTCTCATTCTGCACGCAGCCCCCCTCGCAGTCCGACGGCCTCCAACTTGTTTTCTCTCTGCTATGAAGCGGCTGCATTGTTGTCTTACATTCCACCCGTATAGCTTTCCCGATTGAGAGCAGATTATTTCGGCGATCGGTAAGAAACTCGTGACGCAAAGTATTTCACCGGACCTCGTAGACGTAAATGCCCCTGTTGCTACGTGCACACGTTTGTGAATGAATGCTGTGTGGCGTTTACAAGTGTGCACTCGTGCCCCAACGTGGGGAGCCTGTGTGGATACGCGATTGTCTCCCCCCCCCCCCCCCCCCCCCCACTAGAAGAGGCATCTGCTGCTGCATCGGCTGAAGCGAGCGTGGACTCTGCGTCGCCGACACCGCCCTTGCCTACGCTCCGCCCTGTGCCTCTCGGTACCGCAGATCCACAGCCTCAGACTCTCTCTCGCCCGCTTAAGACGCGCACGCACACACCAGCGGTGATACACGCTCCCCTCTGGAGACACCCAAGCGCTCTATGTGAGCCTGAACATCTCAGAATCAAAATCAGAATTTTTATTTCTCCTGGAGGAATCCGATGAGCTGTCAAGCTCTTCTTCACAGTTGTGTCCAGTAGGGGGGTGGGTTGGCAAGTCAAGTAGGGTGGGTAATTTTGGGGAGGCCCTCGTCCAACAGTGCATTTCCACAAAGGGTTGTGTGCGCCAAGGAGCACAAACCATCACGCGAACTCCGGTCATCCTCGCAACGGCTTTTGGCAAACCATTGAAGAGAAACGGTTACCGCATCGCGCGCTTTCAGATGTGCTTTTGCGGCCGTCTGGAATGCTCTTCCTTCCAATATTAGGAAGCCACTGGGGCTATGCACTTTTAAATCGTCTAAATTAAAAACTCATTCCTTTTAGAACTGCTTTTCGTGTTTTGTTTGTCGTCCGTTCTCCCCGCATCTCCGATTATCGCGGTCGGGCTACGTACGGTGCGATAGAAGTTTAAACCGTGCGTGTGTGTGCGCCTCCATTCCCACCACCCGCGCCGCCAGTGGTGCGGTGTGTGGCACGCCTACACATTGCGGCGTCGGTGACGTGCAAACCGTGGTGCGTGTGTGTGTGCGCGTTCGTACCTCCAACCCCATCCCCTGCACCGGCCAGAGTCGTGCGGCGTGGCCCCCGTGTCGCCGCACGCGTCGGCGCGCGTGCTTGGCGGCGAGGAGGTGCGGCCCCACTCGTGGCCGTGGACGGCGAGCCTGCGCCTGCTGGGCGACCACGCGTGCGGCGCCGTGCTCGTCCACCCACAGTGGCTGCTCACGGCCGCCCACTGCTTCCGAAAGTAACGGCGCGTGCGGGGGGGACGCGGAGGAGGAGTGAAAGCACGGTTGTGTTCGTGGCGGCGTGTGGGTGAAAAGGGGGGATTTTTAACGCTGTATTTGGAGTTTGCATTTCTGCGTGGATTTTTTTTGTCTCTGGGTCTTCCGATTTTTCTCTCCACATTTTCGAACCGTGCATTGAGATGAGATGATATTGATGCTACAAATGTCTACGTAATGAGTCACTTTGTTGAGCTATCGTTTGTGGCCATGTCACTTCTGAAAAAGAAGCTCCCGTGGGTTTCACCTGGTAAGAAACAAATAAGTTGTATTTATGATAATTTCGTTTTTTTACCCTTCCTATACTTTGCACTCTTATCGTGTTTTTGTATTTTTTTTGTTGTAACGTTCTGACCCCATGCCCTTACGAGCCAACTCCCAAATTTCTCAATGCGCCGCTGCGGTTACAAGTAGGTGCTCGTTTAACGTTGCGTCTGGGCAAATTGTTGCGTGGTTTCTTTTATGCAGCGTGCGTTACCCCCTGTACTGGGAGGCGCTGCTGGGAGATCACGACCGGACCCAGCAGGAGCCTACGGAGCAGGTGTGCGAGGGGGGGACTGCGTACACGCAATCGTACAAATACGATCGTCATCTCGCACCCAAACTCGCCCTCTGTTTTGTGTGTTTTAAAATCCTCTACCGAACTCGCCCCCGTCCCTCTACCCCTATCATCTTGCTCTACTTCCCTGCTCCCCCCTGCACTCTCTCTGCTTTGACATGCACATGCATGCGAGGAGCAGTGGTGGGCGTAGTGATTAGTGCACGACACCAACAGCCCCTTGCCTGACTAGTCTCTGTACGACTCGAGGTGGGGGGGTGGAGTGGGATGTTTCTCTCGTGGCTTTTTCCGCGTGAAAGACGCGCAGGGTGTCTCTCGTCCTGTGCCACGAGCGCTACAACGAAACCACGGCGGACTACGACGTGGCGCTGGTGCGACTGGCGTCGCCGGCGCAGCTGGGCGACGCGGTGCGGCTCGCGTGCCTTCCGGAGGCGGCGCGGGACGTGGCGCCGTCGTCCGTGTGCGTCGTCACGGGCTGGGGCGCGCTCGTCCAAGGTACCCCGCGCGGATTTCATTTGTGAATGCTTTCCAGTGGAGGTTGATGGTTTGGCTCGAGTCTTGCAGCCTTCCGTCTACCGACTGCTTCGTGACGGTATCTATGTACTCGCGCGCAATCACGGCTCTTGAAATCTTCAGTTTTGTACCGATTTTGAAAAAAATAGTTATTTTTGGTTCCGACTCCTGATAACACTGTGCCGTGTGTTTTTTAGGTGGCCAATACCACGCTTTTGTCTCCCAAGTGACAATGTTTACACGTGCTCATCCTGCCGCGTCGCGCGTATCTTTGTCGTTGCCGAATTAAAGGGCACCGAGAGGGACAACCACTGTGCAAAAACGACTTCGCTGCTCCCATCCTCCCCATCCCCACCACCCCTGGCTGTGCCCACCGTGCTCGCGAACCCCCCTCCCCCCACCCCCCCCCGGCGCCTAGACGGGGAGCCGGCCGAGCGGCTCCAGCAGCTGCAGGTCCCCGTGCTGGACTCGGCGCTGTGCGAGCGGGAACACTACCCGCGCCATCCCGGTGGCATCTCCGCCCGCATGCTGTGCGCGGGGTTCCCGTCCACCAGCAACAAGGACACGTGCCAGGTACGCGCGCGCATGAAATGGCAAAGGATTCCCCCCCCCCCCCCGACTTTGTGGCCTTTTGATGGACTGTTGGGGCAAGTGCTGTTCGCGGGCACCTAATGAAGGCCGGCACGTCGCACCCTCACGGTGCCGTGCACGACTTCACGGCACCCCACGCCCGGCCGCTTCTGTCTCCCGAGTGACGATGTTTACACACGCGCACACACACGTGCGTACACGCAAAGAGGTGCAAACGTGTTTTGTGTGTGCGTACTACAAATGCGTGCGTACACGTGTGCAAGCACGTGTTTTGCTTCTATCACGACAACACGGTTTAGTCGTGCCGAGTGCGAGCGCCTGTTTAGAATCGGCGGTGCACTTGGTGTGGTCGTGCGGCTGGAACAGCCTCCATTTGGCTGATGACATGCGGTACCTGCCCCCACCTCTCCCCTCGTCTCGAACTACTGCCCTCCACACACTATGCTCCAGCAATCAAGGCGTTCCATTGAAGCCCCCCCCCCCCCCCCCCCCCATTCAACATTTGCTTGGTGAGACATCGCTCCATCTCCTCTACTACTCCCACAGCCTGGAACTCCCGTCCCCTGCAGTCTGCTGTCGACTACCTGCGTCTGTCAAGTTCAGAGACCACCTCTTTCTTGCCTATCGCCTACATGGGCATGTGCAGACATGAAGAAAATGTCCTTTATCTAAACGTACAATTGATGTGAACACGAGCGAAATGAAATCCAAAAGCTCAGACAGTGAGGGCCCCCCCCCCCCCCCCCATCTCTCACCCACATGGCAGGAACTCTGTTCTCGCTAATAAACAGGACCCCAAAGCGTTACAGAATCCATGCGCGGCTCTGCTTCTTGGCTCGTTTGTTCGTGTACCTTGCACCAAATGAAGCTCCTCGCTTGTCCCCCCCCCTCCCCGTGTGACTGGCTGTCGCAGGGCGACTCTGGCGGGCCGCTGGTCTGCTCCCTGACCAACGGCTCCATGGCCGTGTTCGGGCTGACGAGCTGGGGCGAGGAATGCGGCAAGCAAGGCCGTCCCGGCGTGTACACGCGCGTCGCCAGCCTCCTGCCCTGGATACAGGCGGTGCTGAGCCGTGAGGGCCCCCCCCCCCCTCCCCCATTGCTCGCCCTAAAACTTGCAACCAAACTTTTTATTTTACCAGGTAAGACCTCGGAGGTATATTCGCTCTTCTTTTTCAGAAGCGACCTGCCTATCGCTAATGATCGCAGCTCAACGAAGTGGCTTGTCGTCATCGTGTGAGAATCTATAGCAGCAGCCAAATATTCTAAACGCGTATTTCTAGGGACTCGTCGAGACCCACAGAGCTTCACACTCCCACAGTGGCCAATTGGCAGCAGTGGCCCAGCCGTTAGAACAAACACTGACATCTGAACCGGTCCTCTGCCCATTGTACAGCCCTGTGAACAAGGCTGCTGAACGGCCCTGTTTGTGACTTCTTCACTCTCCTTGCCTTTCAGCTCCTCCCATGGCTCCTGCCCCAGCTCTCGTCCGCAAGTATAAAGCCGGTCGACCCCACAAAATGGGTACGTGTTCGTGGAACATCCCTCGGGCGGCTTAAACACGTGTGCCCTGGGACACGTGTGTGTGTGTGATGGGGAGCGGTAGTGCAGCAGTTAGTGCTGCTGTGCTACGAACCCAGAGACCCGAGTTGACGATTATCTGAACCGGTCCTGGGCCCTTTCGCTAGGTCGACTCGACCTCAAATAAGTACCTGGTGCGGTGTGTAAACATCGCCGCTGGGGAGACGAAGGCGGCCGGGCGTGGTGCTGGCTGCCCACCCCCTCGTGTGCCGTGCCGGCCTTCATAGGTGCTCGCTAACAGCACTTGCCCCTTCAATCTGTTAAAGCTATACAGGGGGGGGGATCTTTGTCTCTTGATGGGGGTGGCCCCAATCTCCCAAGAATACCCTGGGATTCCCTGGTGCTGCTACCCCCCCCCCCCCCCCCCCACCTGGCTTGTCCCTTGTGCTCGTTGGTGCAGAGTGCATCGAGGAGGAGAGAATTTAGGAAACCTACCACCGATCGTTTCGGCTTCCTCGCCGAGCGAATTGAGCCGGCGACCTGTGGATTTCGGGTCTTGGTGTGTTGCTGCTAACGGCGCGAATTTAAATTGGCGAGCGCTCGTTTGTGGGGACGCGTGCAAACTTTTGACGGCCTCCCGGTGCGCGCGTGCGACAGCGTGGGACTGCTCGGGCGTTGCGCAGGTGGCGGTGGCGCCGTCGACGGAGGGGCAGCTGTCATCGCCCGGCTACCCGGACTCGTACCCGGGCGGCCGCAACTGCAGCTGGCTCCTGCGTGCGGGACCAGACACTAACCCGGAGGTTGGCACGGCGTCGCCGTCGCCGCCGCACTCTGTGGCGCCACCAATAGTGGCACGCGGCACCGTCCTGCAGCTGGTGCTGGAAGACCTGTCCCTGTACAACTCGACGGGCTGTGCGCAGGAGGCGCTGGAGTTGTACGATGGGAACTCGCTCGCCGATCCGCTCCTGGGTGGGTAGGGGGGGGGGACACTGCTGCGCACTTAAAGAAAGAATCTAGGGGGGACGGACGAATTCGCCTTTATCGAATTGATGAAAGATGGCTCGGCTTTTTACGATTTACAAAAATAATTCGGGTGTTAAGATGCTCCAACACGAAATGGACACCTTTTGCAAGGCAATCGCGTCTGGATTAACGACACATGCGTTATGGTTAAACATGCAAACAAACGTGCTTTGAATAATGTACACTGTCTTTGAAACTAATTGGCCTTTACACCAGATATGGCAGCCTCCTTTTTTATGGCCTTGTCCTCACCAGAGATCGACAAAATCCGAACAGCGCAAAGGCAATAGAAATATCTAAGCATATTTCTTTTCCCAACAAAATATTTTGTCTTCCCTAAATTTTATCCCAACTTCTATTGGTGTTGTGTCAAGAGACCTGAGTTTCCATTCGGATCTCCCAGAGCAGTGCAGCCCTGAGTTTAAAATGAGAATAATTATTTGGTGTCCATGCCATTTGTTGATGTACAGGCTACCGCCAAAGGTGCTATGTTTTGCAGACTGCTGTAGTGTTTTGTGAAGAATTGCTGCTCGCACAAACGGATCCCGCGCAGCTACGTGTATGAACCCAGTGCTGGGCCCTCCCCTAGGTTGTCTCTGCCTCAAGCAGCACTTGCACCACCAGCCAGTAATGGGCTATATACTGGGGGGATCTTTGCCTTGCATATAGGTGTCTGTCAATGTGTAAGCGTGTGGGCTGTGTGTGCGCGTGCATATCTGTAGGTATCCGTCAGGGTGTGTGTGTCATTCAGCCTTAATGAGTATTTTTCACGATGGATACACATCAACACTGGGGAGACGAAGGTGGCTGGGCGTGATGCTGGCCACCCACCCACCCAATCGTGTGCCACGCCAGCTCGGATCGGATCTTTTGTCTTTGTTTTTTTCCCACCACGTGGGGCGTCGTCGCCGTGGTGCAGGCCGGTTCTGTGGGCTCCTGCCGCGCCCGCTGCTGCTGCGCAGCTCTGGACCGCGAGTTCTTCTTCACTTCCGCTCCGGGCCACTGCCTCTGTCGTCCAACCGTGGCTTTGCAATCAAATACTTGGCGGTGCAAATGCCAGGTACCTTTTTTTTTTTTTTCCCGACGTGAGGAAAGCTGTCTTGTTTTTGGTGTTTTGAAACAACTTATGACGCTCTAATCGTGGGTTCAACCTCGTTTCTTTTTTTTTTACCATTTTTATAATCAAGAAAAGTGATCCTGCATTTGCCGCTTCCAAAGCAGCGTTAACTTGAACCCTTGAACCCTTGCCAATTCATGACCTGGAAGGGCCACCTTGCGTTTGGTTCACTTAACCTCGTGGCAATTTTCAGGACCTCCAGTGCAGCTGGACGGGATGGTGCCGCCATCCCCGACCTCCAACTCCACTCTGGTCGTCTCGGCATCGCATGGCCCAGCGGCCCCCACGGCCTCCGTGGCCCCCACGTCCCCCCCCGTCTCCCCTATTCCGCCACGACGACCTCCTCCACTCTACCACCGTCCCTCCGAGGTAGCGGCCAGCCCCCAGTGCGGAGACCTGGTGCCTGAGCAACCTGCGGGGACGATCTCGTCTCCCGCCTTCCCGTGGCCCTACCCGCCGCACGTGCGGTGAGTTGTCGCTCTTAAGGCGGCTCAACGCCCGAGCAAATCGGTCGCTCTCAACTTTGGTGTGTGCAACGGCATCTTCTGCTGTGTGGACGTCTCTGCAACCAGTTGCGAGTGGTCGGGCAAACCGGTTGCATACAAGAAATTTGTCGCGACGTATTTTATCACGTGCACAATCAAGCTATGATTGGTCGTTAAAATCCTGATGTGGGTGGTTGGGGGGTGGGGGCGGTGGAGCTAACTGCTAAAAGGGGTGTGTGGGGTGTTACGTATTTGTTGCGCAACTACTTGTGAGTGGTTTTTGTCGTGAAACTTCTCGCGCTGGCGTGGACCTCCGGCCCTTCTCGCCCCCCCCCTCCCCCCGCTACGACGCGTCGTTCAGCGGCAGCTCCGCAGCTCCTCCTTGTCCCATGCACAGCCGACACTCAGCTGCCCCCCCCCCCCCCCACTCTCATCAGATGCTCGTGGCGAGTGGTGGCCCCCAACTCTGCGCTAATCCGCCTGGACTTCGCGAGCTTCTTGACGCGCGTGAGCTCCGCCGGCGACTGCACGGACTCGCTCTCCGTCTACGAACTCAACGCCACCGCGGACACGCGCTCCCTCGTAGGTTCGTCCCTCGTGCTGGCGTATGCCGTCACATCCTCGGATGAGTATCTGGTGGTGGGCCAGCCCAGCATGGTGCTGCCCCCCCCCCAAACCCTCTCGTATGCCGTGCCGGCCGTCGTAGGCACTTGCCCTAACAACACTTTACCCCCAACGGTCTGTTTAGGCTACACGGGGGAATCGGGGCATCTGTGTCTTTGTGTGTTTCCCTACACGCACAGCGCACCTGTGCGGTCGGACGCTGCCCCCACCACTGAAGACGGGTCACGACATCGCGTTGGAGTTTGTGGCGGGAGGCCCGGGGAAGCCAGGGGAGCTGAGAGGTTTTGCTGATAACCTGGGATTCAACTTGACCTACGCATTTCAAGAGCCAATTGCAGGTAAGACCACCCCCACTCGCCTGCACCTCTCCTCCACGTTGTGCGCTGTCACCTGAGGGTTATGGGAGATTTCACTTGCAGGACCAAGCCCCCCTGCCCCCCCCCCCCCCCCCCCCCCCCCCCCCCCCCCCCCCCCCACTTAGTGATGAGCCCAGCGGTTTTCACACTGGACTATGATCCAGGTTATCTCAATTTGATTCCCACCCATCTCAATTTGATTTCCAGCCACAGCTAACGTCGACGTGATATCTGAACTGGTCCAGCCACCCCCCCCTCCTTTTTAACTAACCCCCACTAACCAGCACGGTGAAGTATGGTCAAACAAACTCCATGACCGACAACCGTGCGAGAGATGGCCCTCTTCCAGCAGTCGTTTGACAAAGGGTGGTGAATAAATAATGATTTATCTATGGAGTGTGGTTTTGTGGATCGACTTGCATCTGCCGTAGAATTGTGTAATTTCTTACACCGCAAGCTCAGGGCTATAGCTCCTCTCTATTGGAAAGAAAGGGGAGCTGTTTACTAATCGACAAACATTGCTATCCACCGTTTTCAGGTCGCCCTTGTCGTGTACACGTGCTTATGTGGGTATTAACAGTGGTTACAACTGGTCCTGGGCCCGTCCCCTAGGTCCGACTCTGCTTTTAAATGAGTACCTGGTGCTGTGCGGTAATGTGTGGTGCTGCCAACAACCAAGGAACGTCTCGTGTGCCATGCTTGCTAACATAATGTTCCGTCTGGTAGAGGCTACACGATGGATATTTTTTTTGTTCTTGCAGAATTACCCAGTGTGCCAAGTGGCAGCCCATCTGCTCCTGGAGAAACGGGTGAGTGACGTTCACATTGGCAAGGCTCTCGCCCTGTGTGTGAGCTGCTCGCAAAACGACTTGCTAGCTCATCCAAAACAATGCCTTCTGTATCGTCGTTCACACACACACACTCTTGCCAGGTTTTCCAATTCACGTATACATTAACAAACAAATGTGCTCATCCATAGTAAGCAATGTATTCTAATTTCAAATGTCATTTAAAAAGGAGTACTTTTCTAATAGGATTCATGACACAGCAAATGCGTTTTCAGCTTGAATTCTTACACGGTCACCGTTACAATCGGGGCACGGCCGCAGAAACGACATCTAAATCATGGACACGCGACGCCAGTCGTACACGAGAAACCACTCCAGATGTTCGACAAACAGAAAGTTACCCGACTTGAGCAAATACATTGTGAATCTCAATACGGCCGCGTGTGTTCCCATTGCGCGTGGCTGATCGCGATGGCCAAGGTGCGATTGCAATTGTGACGGTCAGAAGGTTGAGAGGACGCCCTCTACTGGCAGTTCCAAGTTTATAAATAGACAAGGGGGGCAGCCCCCCACTGAACTCTTATGTTAGGGGTTGGAGGCCCCAGAGATGCTCTATGTAAGCAGGACCTAATTTCTCACTTTTCTGGAACGCTGCTCCCGCCGGCTTGGAGTAAGAGCTTACCAGCATTAAGGTACCACCACTACAAGAGCATCAAGGTATGGCTATCCATAACCCTTTATTATTATTATATTGTATAATCCTGTGATAACTAAGTAACATGAGGACAAGGAGAGCCGGTTGGATGTGGCGTCGCCAAACTTTCCCAGAAGAACATTTTAAACTGTTCTGGCTGTGACATTTGGGGCTGCTGACCTTTTAACCCCCCACCCCTTGACCCCACACCTCCGCTCCACCGGCAGGCTGCCTGGCGCTCGAGGTGGTGCGCGCGGGCGCCGCGGGGGGCTTTGTGTCGTCGCCCGCGTACCCGCAAGCGTACGGCGCGGGCCTACAGTGCACGTGGACGCTCTACTCGGTGTCGGGCGCTCCGCTGCGTGTGCACGTCCTCGACGTGGACCTGGAGACGAGCCCCGGGTGCGCGTGGGACGCGCTGAGCCTGCACGACGGGCCCGACGTTAGGGCGCCCCTCCTCGGTGAGTGGCAGCAGCGATGGTTACGGCGTGTCCCCCCCCCTCCCTCCCCCTCCTAGGTTAACATCTCGCCACGGGGGACGATGTTAAATACCTCGTCTGGTATGCAGGATCTTGTGGGTACGATCCCGACCCTGATGCCTGCTGTATATTTGGAGTTTGTCTCCTTGTGATAATATATTTTTGTCCGTGTTTTTGTCCTCCACATTGAGCGAATTTGACTAATATAAATTTCCACATGATGAGCCACTTCGTTGACCTAATCATTGTGGCCAGGTCGCTTCTGAAAGAGCCATGTGGCTCAGTGGGCCTTCACTGGTAAAATAAAAAATAGTTACAAATTGGTGAGTGGCGGCGATGGCGATGGGGCCCGCCCCTCCTAGGTGAGAATGGCTGTTCTCGCCGTCACTGTGTGCGCGCGCGTACGCTCGCAGGTTTGTTCTGCTCGCAGAGCCCCCCCACGTCCGTCGTCTCCTCGGGGCCGCTCCTCACCGTCACCTTCCACTCGGACTCGGCACTTGGGGGCCGAGGCTTCCACTTGCGCTTCGAGGCGGGCGACGCGCTCGAGGCCCTTCCCAGCTTCCCGCCCGGCACTAGCCCCGTGCTGCCGGCCCCCGTCCTCGGCAGGGCAGCTGCGGGCGGTGGACGACGCCTCCTCGGTGCCACCGGTCAGTGCCTGCTGCCTGCCCGATCGACACCGCTCCTCGCGAACCTGGCCAAGCGACATCCGAATCGAACCGGTGTCTCCCTCCCCCCCCCCCCCCCCCCCCCCCCACCTTGAACCTCCGCTGACCCGTGGTGCCGCACAGCATCGTGCGGGGCGCCTGTGATCCGCGGCCTGCCCGGGACTGCGGCGGCCGGCAGCGCTCGCGTCCTCGTGGACCCCCTGCTGGGGCTGTCGCGCGTCGTCGGGGGAATGGAGGCGGCGCAGCGCGCGTGGCCCTGGCAGGGCAGCGTGCAGTACGGGCAAGGGGGTCACTACTGCGGCGCCACCCTCATCCACCCCCACTGGGCCATCACGGCAGCGCACTGCGATGTCAGGTGACCGCTCGTGCACAACCAAGCAGTCCAGGTTTGGCCGGGACAGTCCCAGTTTGTAAAAATCGGAATTGTTGTCCTAACTGTAAGGTGTTCTGGCTTTCAGGCTTGAACGCATGTGATGCACTAATAAAATGTGCCGCTACTTGATTATAGTGGGCGGGGTTGTCTGAGTGGGCAGGGCCTGAGCAGCAGGCGGGGCCAATGCTGGGGCTAGCGGTTGAGTGGGTGTGGCCGTGTAAAAGTGGGCAGGGCTGACGGAAGGGTTTCCCAGCCCCGTCCGTGTGTCCTGGTTGAGCCTCCCCCAAAACCTGGTAGCGTTTACTTAATGAGGGTGGGGGGAACTTTGCTGCGTGTTGTCTTTTTGCGCATGGGCAGCGCTGCCTCCGACACGCTGGTCCTGGGCCTAAACGACCTGCGGGAGCGCGGAGGGGACGGGCAGCGGCTGCAGGTGGCGCGTGTCGTCACCCACCCGGGTTACGGGGGGATGCCGCCCCAAAACGATCTGGCGCTGCTGCAGCTTGCAACACCCGCTCACATCGGTACGCCCTCCTCTTCCTCCCACTCCCCTTCACACTTGAGGTCAGAGGGCACCTCTTCCCCCCCCCCCTCCACGACTACAAACCACCACTACTAAGGAGTGAGGTTTGTGCCCATACACGAATAACTGCTACGTGTTAACTCTCGATCATCTGCAGGTCGCAAATGAAGGACTGGTTTGGATACCACATGCCCAGTGGTGTTAGCCATGGCCGGTCGTCAAACTCTTTCATCGCCAGGTTGAGAGCGCAGTGCAAAGTGCAGTGCTGCAGCAACTAGCAGGGAGACGAAGCTGGCCCATTCATTGTCATCCACATCGCCCCTTCATATACGCCCGTGGGCACCCTTGATAGGTGCGTTTTATATAACGATGTTTGTTTTCTGGAAGCGTGTAGGACTAAATGGGTGTGCCAATCCTAGTTTTTTTTGTTGTGCGCAGGTCCCAGTGTGATGGCTGTGTGCCTGCCCAAGGCCAGAGAGGTGTTCGAGGAGGGGAAGATGTGTGTGACGACGGGATGGGGGTCCACAGACCCATTCGGTGGGTGGAGATTCTCATTCCTCCATCATTGGGATCCTTGGATGGCAAGTGTGGTGGGAGTTGTATTGTGACAGTCAGTCATCGGCAGCCATGATTTATCTCTTACTGGATGAAGGCCTCCCCGAGCCACCCGCTATATCCCTCCATCGTTGATACAACAATCCATTTGGCACCGGTACACGAGCCGAGTTCATCGCTTCCACCTGCCGCCATTAATGCCCTCTAGTGACGTGTCCTGACCCAAGTAGGGTCCGCGTCCTTTCCTCAAGTCGATGTAATGTCCGCATCCTCCGATCGACGTGGTTCCCCTTTGTGGTTGCCTCAACGTAATTCCAAGCAGTTACGTCTCCTCGGTGATTCTTTGCGCTGCGTTCAACTTGTGCTCCGTGTCCTCCGTCAATGGCCGTGCACGTCTAGCCAACACTTCAAGCTTCACTGCTGTCCCAGAGTGCAACTTGAAAGAAAATAAGCCAATCTTTACCGCTGCCCAACTGAGGTTAAAAGCTTTCATGCATTGGCTCTGCCCTTCCTCGTGCAACGGGCGGGTGCAGAGGGAGTGAGCGCATGATAACACTCGTGAAGGTGATCGTGCATATGAAGTAAGTTGGAGTGTGAAGTTGTGTTGCTATCAGGGACTTGCTCAACAGAAAACCAGCCCCAAAGGGTTGCTGGTTCCCCCTACCAGTCTCTATCAGAGCCCCGTGTCTCCTTGCGGCCTATATACATAGTGGGGAGTGGTGACGCTAGCAGTTGCCTGAAACGGTCCTGGTCCTCCCCTAGGTCAACTTGGCCTCAAATTAGTACCTGGTGCCATGAGTAAACATCTCCACTAAGGGAGACGAAGGCGACCTGAGTGGTACTGGCCACCCCACCCCCTCGTGCCGTTCACGCTTACAGCACTTGCCCCAACAGTCTAAGACTTGTCTTGTGTATATCAACTTCCTGCGCGTCTGGTGCAAGCAACTGCCACTGCTGTTCTGGCTAATAAACAGGACCCCAAAGCGTTACAGAATCCATGCGCGGCTCTGCTACTCGGCCCGTTTGTTCGTGTACCTTGCACCAAATGAAACTCCTCGCCTGCCCCCCCCCCCCTCACCTCCGCAGACGAGGTGTACCCTGACCAGCTGCAGCAGGCCACGCTGCCCCTCATCGGCAACGAAAAGTGCAGGAAGCGCTGGGGGCTCGAGGCGGTGGTGACGGCCGAGAACGTGTGCGCGGGCGCGGCGGGGGCGTCCTCGTGCTTGGTGCGTGCCGAGGGGGGCGGCGGTGTCGTCGCGCGTCGGGGCTAGGATTAGAGTTTACCTTGCGCTTGAATTACAGCAGCATCTTTTCTCCGATGCTCTTTGAACTAATTTTTTTTATTTTACCAGATGAGTGCTCGTGAAGCTGCTTCATATCGCTTTTTTTACAAGCGACATGGGCATCACAAATGATAGATCAACAAAAGTGGCTTATCGCGTGGAAATTTATAGCGGTCAAATACTCTAAATGCACGTTGATTCTAAATGTGGAGGGGAAAAACCAGAGGATCCGGAGAATAAATCCATGCGACCAAGGGGAGAAACATGCATATTCCAAAATATCCAGCAGATGGTCAGGGTCGGGATCGAACCAACCTCCTGTATACCAGGCGAGGTAGTTAACATCTCCTCACCACCGTGGTGCACATCTCACTTGACACGAGGCCATCCGAGAAATGATGCCCACGGGGAAGTTATATGCCCTACAGTTGTGCGGGTCTGTGTGCATACGTGTGCTTGCGTACTCTTGGCCACCCATCCCCCTCCCTCGCGTGCCGTGCTGGCCTTCGTATGTGCTCCCTTAAGGGCACTTGCCACAAGTATGATTAGGTTATATGGGGGATCTTTGTCTTTCTGTACTCTCGTACCCCCTTCCAAACACATCAGGGCCCCGTGCTGGCGCGGAGGGCCCTGATGGTGTTCTGGTGGGTTTGCCCACTTTCTGCAATCTGACGTTGGACCAAGCAGTGCCCAGAGGAGGGTTGGGGGGCGTTAATCGAATGTTTCATTGCGTGTGACGTCGGAAATCTAGGAGCGCATCTGCAGTGGAAAAACAACCGGGTGCCACTGTCGGATGGAATGGAGGAGGTCTTTGTCATCACTGTTCTGAAAGGGCACTTGGGTTCATCTACAAAAAAACCACGTGTGTGTGCATCTGCTAGTCGTATCTCTGTCAACCCTTGGCACCTGGAGTCTGTCCTGTGACCTGCCAGCAGGTGTTTGACACTTCACGTGGCCTAAAAGTGCGCACAGCCTGGCACAAGCGCTGTAGTGATGCCACTGCCACTTAGTGACGTATGGCGGTCGTGGTTGTGTGTGTGCATTCCCCCCACCCCCCCCACTATTCCCGTGTAGGGCGACTCGGGCGGCCCGCTAGTGTGCCACCGCGGCGGGTTGCACGTGCTGGTGGGCGTCGTGAGCTGGGGCAGCGAGACGTGCCAGCCCAACGTGCCGTCCGTCTACACCAACATCGCCAGCCACACCGCGTGGATCGCTGAGATGACGGGAGGCGTCGTGTGAGCGGGGCTTCCGTGGTTTATCCCACCACCTCCCACACCCCCCTGCTTGTAGTCTGTTAGGATGTTCACCCAACAGAGCTTCGCTTCTGGTTCGGAAGCACCTGTGGAATGACGGACAGCAGCAAGCTCGACAGCAACCCAAGCAATTTGAACTTCTAGCAACCCTTGCCCCTTGCAGCTTGGCCTATCGCATTATGGCAACAGTTTACATCTTTGCGACATTTTATCAACTCTTACAGATATCCCATCACATTGCAGCGGGCATTGTGAAGCAGTTTTGCATATTTGCAGGCACCTTCTCATTGCGTTTATTTGTAATTGTATTTTTTTGTAAAGTGGGGGGGGGGGGGGGAGATCTGTCTGTTTCCACTAAGGTGGCGTTCTCTGCGTTTTATCAGTGTTGTATTCTCACAGCTGCTATGCGGTTGAACTTAATTTGGCACGTGTGGTTTGATAATAAATAGTGTGGCTTGTTTTTCAAGAAACTTGCATACTTGGTACTCGACTAAAATCAATTGCTCTGTGCTCTTTTTGCGATTTTCTTTCGCTTCTGTTCAGTAATTACCATCGGGCAGGTATTGCGCGGTCATTTTCAAGCCGCACCAGTGTCCGGGGCCTGTTAATCTGTCGGGTAAGAGGGGGGCTCAAACGGGGGACACTATTTTATGACTTGTGTTGAGCACAGGTCCAGCAGCCCGATGACTGCAGCATGCACCTTTGTGATTTCTGGCTCTGTCAACCGAATATGAAAATAAATGATCATTTATTTATTAACCCTCCTTCAAACAGGGTCGGGGCAAGCAGCAGCTCGAGCAAGCTAGCTGCTTGCTATTTCTTGTGGGGGCCCCTGTGGTTTAGAGCAGAGAACGTGGGGGTCATGTGTCCTGGCTTTAAGGGGCCTTGTTTGCCCCCCCCCCCCCTCTGCTGTCTCTGCCTTACAGCAGTGGTGGTGTTTTAATGACAACGGCAGTTGATGTACGATTGTGGTTTTGGCATGGGGGAATTTCAAAGTTACCTTTTGCCTAGGTTTGTGACCCAATTATATTTGATCTCGCTGGGGTGCTCCCCTTAGTGTCCTCTAAATGGGACGGGAGTGGGATACACGATTTTGAGAAGCTACTTAACCCTCGTGCAATAAAAAATATATATTTTGGTGTCTGTTGTACAATATGTGCTTGTGGTTGTTATGCCTTCATTGGCCACATTGTATTTGCGAGTTGGTGGAAGTGGCACAGGGCCTGTTTTGGGCACCAGGCCAGCACTTTGAGGATGTGGAGATCAAGATTTGTGGCTGCTGATGACTCATATGGGCACTGATCTGCAACTTGCAAATGCGTGGTTCTTACCATCGGATAACAGCTGCTATTGACGAAAATGCGATGGGTTATGGTTGAATGCACCAACATTAGCCGTACCCGGGTCCTATATCAAGATTGATTTGCAGTGAAGTGTGCTCACCACTGTGCCACCACTCCGTTTAAAATAATTCGGCCCCAGTAGTCTAACACTTTTTGGGGGGGGAGGGGGGGATCTTTGGTTGTGGTGAGCAGTAGTGGGTTAGCTCTGTTCTCTGCACCAGGTGACTTGGATGTAATGTCTGGCCATGTATGGTGGTGGCAAATGGTATATGTCCGAGCCTTACCTGGACCTCCCTTAGGTCGATTTGGCCTTCAAAGAGCCGCTAATATTCGCACGTTGGCACGAGGTCCACTTCATGGCTAGGGGATCACTGATGTGGGCAAACTCGCCGAGCCGTGAGATTACCAGGGAGTGCACCACAGCGAGTGGGTAAATAAAATAACGGCGTGACGTGTCGGGTATCGTGCATCTGGACGATATGGAGCATAACGGCCATAGGCTAATTTTTTTATCCATTGATAACGTTGATGTGAGTTCGATGTATGGAAGGTTTCGGGGTGGAGTGGGAACGTTAATCTTGATGTGGTTATACCCACGGGAGTTTGGGCCCTGTGAAAATTACTTCCCCCCCCCCCACCACCACCAAATCGGCGCTGAACAGGATGTTTATTTTCAATTAGGCAGTGTCACGCAGGAATGAAAAGGTGGCCATCTGCAAAGGACTGCGATGAGGCGGAGGTACCCTCGATGGTGCTTGGGTGGGAGATGGGAACACCGCGATGTGTTTGCGCGTCAATCGTTAGGGCATTGGACGGGGATGGAAGCGGTCGTAAGAAATTGTGTGGCGAGGGGAGCGCATGGCAACGAGCGATGCCCGTTCAAGGACCTGGATCGTGTGTCGGGGAGGACCACGTGAACTAGATTGGAGAGAAGACCGGTATACGTAAAACGGTGTATAATGAAATCGGCGCTGGTTTAAAACGTATATATACGTATCGCGCAGCCAAACTATGTGCAGTATAATAAACTTGATGTAATGGCAGCAATGTAGATTGTGCATTGCAATATTTTTTGTAAATGTGCAGAAAAGATCACTGGTGTGAAAGGGAAATGATAGTAATCGATATTATTGGTGAGCGGGGGGGGGGGCATTTGCAGTCCTTGTAACCCACATTGACCAGGGTGGTGAATGGTTAAGTATAGTCAAACCACCAATGGCTGACGTGGAGGCATCCATTTGTGGATTTGAAAAGAGCTTTGCATATATGTTCGTGTAACAATCGGTCATACAACAAGAAATATGTAAATAAATACGTGGGAAGTCTCGTATCTCCAGGAACACACTGCAGGAAACCCCGTTGCAATGTTTTGCATGCACAGGAGCTTGAGGAAATGTATGGAGCTGCACAAACAGCCCAACCAGTAATGAGCCGAAGTGACTTTCATGCCCAGTGTTATGTTTGCGGTGTTATTGTATGCAGCCCCAAAGCGCGGGTCGGAGTGGGGGGGGGGTAGAGGGGGGCTGAGCCCCTCCACCCCCCCACGTTGTTAAAGGTTCGGTCCCCCGTTAATTTCTTCTGCTTTCATACCGTATATGTTTATGTTAAACGTCTTTCGCACCGTACGTAGCAGACCGTGCTCGTCGAAGGTGCGGGGGGAAGGACAACACCACGAGTCTAATTAAGGGATGGGCGTCTCGTCAATTCCTTCAATGCACAAGAGACACCGCAGCATTGTGCCTATGCATGTGCACAGCCTTTTGTTGTTGTCAACACGCTGCTGCGAGAGAGCCTCCCCACGCCGTGCCAGGTCACGGCGGGGTTATTCCCCTCCGTACTGCACCACGCTGGTGGCCGTTTGAAGGCGGAGCGCACCGGACCGGGGTAATGCCATGCGGCTCTCTGGTGCCCACCGTGTCACCCCGCAGCCCCGCAGCCCGACCACGCGCCGTTAGCGCAGCCGCGGTCACGCATCCCGACCACTGAGCGCAGCTAAGCGCACGCGGGGTTCGGCTTTCGAGTTCTTGATGATCGTGTGCGTTTCGGGTGATTTGGTCATGGGCGTGTGTGTGCTATCACCACCACACTGCTCTCTCTCTCTCGCCCTTGTTGTCGTGCACAGGTGTGCGGTGTGGTTTGTTTTCTGCCTGTCGCCCAACCATCGTCGAATTCCTAGAATCGAAGGGGGCTGCTGCTGCTCTGCTTTTTTCCCGGTAAAGTGGCAGTCCGGGTGAATGTTTTCGGGAAATGTAATTTAAAAAAAAAACCCTGGTAATGTGTGGCCAATGTTTCAAGGAAAGCAGCCGGTTAATTTGTTCTTGCTTTCATGATTAAAATCGCTATCTTTCGCCTGCAGTTACCCCAAGCTTTTTGTTAAAAAAGTATCCGTTTTTTTTCCTTCTTAAAAGCCACTGTCAATAATAATGTCACTTATGCGCCAATGAGAGCCCCGCCGAGTCTCGCGAATCTTTTTTTTGGCAGGAGGAGTCTTCGTTTGGGATGTTTGGCATGTGAGTGCGCTGGGTTGTACTCCGGGCTAAATTTCTCACGGAATACTTTCCGTTTTGCCCGTAGCTTCGAGTAGGGCATGTGATGAGTAGTAGCCACAAGCAAATAGCAAGAGGGGTATGATGGATGTTGTGTGCTGGATGCGGGATTTAAGAAAAAAAATTGAAACCGGCTGAAACTAAGCGATGATCGTACTCCGTTTAATTGCAGTTCTGAGCCGCTGACGGGAGTTCCATCGTCCTGGTTTCGACGGGTCAGATGACAAGATTAAAATTAAGATGACAATACCGTTGTCATTGTTTATACTTTACCGCAATCAGTCTGTGTACAGCGTTTAGTCAGGTGAGAGCCCACTGACCATAATCACTTTTGTAAGCTCAACCCTACACAAACATCAGCCGTGGTCTATCCGCTGCCAGATGGATGCTTCGACCAAGCCATCACCAGATCTCACGGCTCTGCGATGTAACAATCCTCATGGCTGCTGCACCTTCCCAGTCGATGTCCTTTCGGGCGAATTCCCTCCTCTGGTTTCCACTCCGTTATTTGTCTTCACCGCTGGCCACCTTGACAGTCATGTCCTGCCCAAACCCGCTTACTATTCTTGACGGTGAAAGCGATGTCTAACCTGCCTGTGTAAGTTCTCTCATCTACGTGTTCCTCTTCCCGTCTCTCAAATGTAATTTCAAGCATGCGTCCTTCCCTGTGCTTCGCTGCCTATTTGTTGCAGCGTTTGTGAACTTTTTGTTTGACTCGCGTCAATCTTAGGTTATATGCAATGATTGTAACGTCCTGTTTAGCCACAACGTTATGTTTCTTGTACCGGTTTAAAGGGTAAAAACCTACTACTATATTTTGCCACTGGTAAAGGAGGTCTCATAGTGTAAATGCTTACCCCGAGCTCTCAATACTCTAATAGTGCACTGTTTTTTGAGTTGTACGCCTTTTGGTGTCATCTGGTCCAACACCAATGGAGAACCAGGCTCTAAGGAAAGCTGTCTCGGGTGTGGACCAATCAACTTCAAGAACAGTGCATATTATTATCATTATCAGAGTTGTTTCTTTTTGTTTGCATTTTGACTACTTGTGTTGTGGTTATTGCAAACATGATGCCTTGTATAAAGGCGTCAGTTTTGTACCAGTTTAAAGGGTAAAAACCTACTACTATAACGTTACGTTGCTTTTCGATCGGTTGTTATCGCCTGCGAATCGCTGCATTAGCACGTGGTGGCCGTCAGGAGCGAGTTCTGGAGTGTTGTAAATGTGAGTGAGGGTGACGATGCGTGTGATGCGTGTGTCTGTCGGCGAGTTTGTGGTGCCCGTACAGAGGAGTGGTGGCGGCGGCCGCCGTGTGTTAAGAGTGTGAGCATGCATATGGAGGAGGCTCGTGAAAGTACGCTACTGGTCAGTTGTGGCCCTCCAACAACAATCGGGGGCAGAGGAGCGACGCTCACAACAACGAGCGGAGCGCCTGGCGGATAAAATGCAGCGAGTTGGCATCTGCCAGTCGTCTCAGTCAACCTATGGCACCTGGGTCTGTCCCGTGACCTTGTCAGCAGCGAGACTTTACGTGGCCTCCAAGTGCACCTGGCCTGGCACAGGCGCGGCGGTGACCTCACCGTCACTTCGTGAGACGTGACAGGTCGCTACGGCTGGAGAGTTGCGTGCATTGTAGTGCATTTAGTGCGTGTGTCCGAGGACGCATGCTGACGGAATGGAGGCCCTCTACTGATCGCTCCTGATTAAGGCATGGGGACATGTCCATGAATACTTGTACCTCTGACTTCTTATACTGAAGTCTATAATGCTCCATGTAGTTTAATGAAAACCAGATATTTCCATTTGAAGGTCCTGCCTCAGGTGGGGGTAGCCGTAGTGGTTGCAATATTTTTGCAGTGGTAAATAACAGTGAATTGTGTAATAACCATTAGAAATCAGTGACTTATCGGGTACTATACTTTACACGTATATTCCCTTTAAATAAATCGATACGACTAAAGTAATGCCACCTTAGGTGGGACCAATTTCTCCTCTGACCCATGGACTATGAAGATGAGAATTATTGTTAGGCCCTCTCGCAACGACTGACAGTAGTCGTGGTAAGGCCCTCATCCAGGAAGAGTAGAGTACTCTGCTCTGCTGCACCACCATGAATTGGTCAAGCTCCTTCCAATTGGAACCCGGCTTTTGGCAAGTCATCAAACAAAGACGGTCACTGCATCGCCCGATTTCAGCAACCCCGGCTGCCTTATGGAAGTGAAAACATTTGCGGTAATTACGGAAAACGAGACCAGTTTCGACATTCAATGTCTCTTCATCAGCAAGAGTCAGACGTGTAGGCAAATCATTCAACATGTTCGTCAAGCGCACTGTGATCTTTAAAGAAAGAAACGTATACGGTAGAATATGCAACTTTAAAAATAATATTAATTAGCCTTCTTCATAGAACACGGATAGGCTCAAGAGAGAATGAACAGGTACAAGTTTGAATAATTAAATTATAATTTATTCATAAAATAGGTTTATTTTTGGGTTAGATCGCGTAAATATAAATGTGT